AATATTTGAGGTTGAAATAGATGAAGGGAGGGAGAAAGAAAGAGAGTGAGAGGGGGATAGAATGAAAAAATTATTATTATTATTATTATTATTATTTTTATTTGTTTCATTCTCTGTTTGTTGGGATAAAAAGCCAATTGCAAGACATGTAGAGAGTGTAATGCAACTGGCATAAAAAACCCAATCTTTTCTTTAAATACATAAAATTACAACAACAGTAAAAAGATAGAACATAAAAAATTTAAAGAAGAAAATATTAAATGCTGGACCCAGTGCAAAGCCTTTAAGGGTTGATTTCTTACAACTTATAAAGTGACAGAAACTTCTAACAATCTCATTTTATATTTATCCTCAAGCATCAAACGTGACTAGATTATGTTTGATTGTAAAACTAAAAAGAACTTTGCTAAATCTCGTATGTTCTGTAGCAATTAGGTTCAACCCTCTGTTGTTGTTATAAACATTAAATATTTGGGTGAATTCTACAACGAAGGAATGACTGAAAAATATATGTCCATTACATTTAATGTAAATGTCAACCGAATCATCCACAATCGATTTCAAATGGTTAACAAAAGTGTCAATAATATTAAGTGTTTAAATATAATTCACAACCTTTTCAACAAACACTCAGATTGTGAATGATTTTTTGTTCATTCAAAAGCATTCAGTATAGCTGAATAATGTTTTGATAAAGCATTGAAAGGTTTTTTAGTTTTGATGCCTTAAAGCAATAAATATTCAAATAAAAATACTTTTTTATGTACCCAACATAAGCTTTTATTTGGTTGACATATTTTCGAAAAATGATTTGATTAAACGGTGAGTTTAAATGGTTATCTGAAATTGATTCATATCAATCTGAGAAAAGGAAGAAAGTTCAATAAAATGATTCTGATAGATATAAAAGAATTCAACCGAAAACACATTATCATTAATACTAAACGTCATAACTAATTAGTTCAAACATTAAGATGATTTAATAGTCAACGTGACTTGCTTTCTCATCATTCATAATGTTCACTGGTTTTCTCCTAATTTCTCTTTCAACATCACGCTTGTATCTCACCGACGGTAGAGAAACTGATAAATCAAAGTGCATTGTTGTGTTTTATTCTGATAAATATTTGCTAAATACAAGAATATTTGATCTCTAATGAAGCTTAACAGTAATAAAATATCTTGCTTCCTCGATATTTTATGAGAGAACTTGATTGTATCTTATTTCTTAATTAAGTTTTAACTTTCTATTCATAAGTGGCTTCCACAAGCTTCTACTTATTTTTATTTACATTGAAATAGGAAATTCAAATAAGATTTCTCATTGATTAAGTGTAACAAAATAATTTAAATCATAACCAAAGAACGTAATTTAAATTCAAATTAGGAAAATTTTCCATGCAATTTTATTTACTTGCATTAGACATTTCTCTAGACGACAAAGAGTTTAGCAAATGAAAATCAGCTCTCAAAATATCGATTAATCCAGTTTCTCTCAGTTTCATATTTCACTTAAAAACGGGATTACGTGCCAAGTGTACCTAAGAAGGAAAAGATGGAAGGAAAAGGGAGGAAACGTCGTATTGCATGATGTATTGAATCGTTTACTGTTAATTTAATAACATGATAGATTAATTCGTGACCATGAGTTCTGCAAAGATTCGCACTTTTCAAGAATATTTAAACATACTTAGAAGAAGAAAAAAAGATCAAAAAAAGTAATATTTCAAAGATATGAAAAGCACAGCATACAAGAAAAGTGTTTCAATCGAGCTTTATACGTTTATTTACCCCAATGATGTTGTACTGTTGGCGCCAGTAGAACCACACATAACACATGAAAAGAGTTTTTCGGTTTCTATACCCATGAGCTTTATGAAAATATAACAACAGGTTTCAAGAGATGAAAAGCTTACGTATTTGTTTATGCCATAATTTAATCAATTTTTGCCGGAAGCAATTTCTTTTTTAAGGTCGTTTTAGTGTTGCGAGTATGACGTGAAAAGCTACTTATTTACAACCCCAAATCAACAGACGAGCTGCGATTGAATTAATGGCATCCAAATATTGGCTTATTGATTAGATAAAGTTTATAAAAGTTGTTTGCGTCAATAATCTTAATCAACATACATATCAGCTTCAATTCGAATATTAATTTGTAAATGTCACTGATTGATCACATAATCAACCGAAAAGTAATTTTATTTACACAATAAAAATGCAGTTACTGTGTATAAAACTTCCATTGGCAATTAAATAGTTTTGCTCATAAGAGTCTAAGTTGTATTTAATAAACTCTTCAAGCTTCATAAACTTACAAATGAAATTATTTATTTTTCCTTTTGCTATAGCAAATTGACTTTAAAAGGAATCGACACAAGTTATAGCAACGGGAAAGTTTCGATTAATATCCGCTTGTTTTCTACTTCGCGATGGGTAATCTCTGTGGGGAAGCTTAATTAAAATAAACCATCATATACCACAAATTAATTTCTGCTGCTGATCGCAACTGCTGTTTTAATGACGTTATGAAAACTTTTCATCGAACCTCAGATAGCTTCAGAAAAATAAATAAAATGAGACTTATCTATCATATTCCCTTTTCAAATTATAATCCAATCTATCGATTTATAAAAGTATTAAAGAGAAGCCAGCAAGTGGTGACATTTAAGTTAACTTGCAATCATGCTAAACGTTTTGCAATGGAAAAACAAGTTCAATATCATTGGAACAAGTTGATAAAAGTTGGCGTCGGAAAGAAATAAATATGAAAACTTTTTTTCCCTCAGTACCAAAAAGAAAACTGATCCACTATTTGGAGAGGAAAACTAGAGGGAAAAGTAATTGGCTGTTTATCTAAGATCAAAGTTTCGTGTAAGCTTAAAAGTAAAGAAAACAAAAAATAAAAAAGCAAGTTTCGCTCGCTTGTTTGCTTAGAGAAAACTTTCCGTTAACGTTATCCATGAAACATCTTGACGGGTATATTTATCTCTTAAAAAAGCTTTCCGATTGAAAATAAAGAAGAAATGAATCAGAAAATTTCATTTCGGAGGAAAAAGATAGGCAAACAATCTTCTTTTCTCATTTGAAATCAAATTTGAAACAATTAAATTCTTTGTTGAATTCTTTGCTGTTTTGAGTTTTTCGAGAATGATTTCGAATGAAAATTCAGAAGAGAATGTGAAGACTTTCCCATGAGATGATTTCCATAGCATGCTTTCATTCCATCACGTAAATATTTCATCGGAAAACCACGCTTTCAACTTTCCATTTCAAAGAAGTTACATCAGCACAGTGCACATTTTCACCAACACAGGTTTATGTTGAGAGAGAACTTTTAATTCGCTCATGGAAAACTTCCAACGAGGAAAATTCATTTCGAACACTGAATATCCTCTGATGCTGTTTCAGTCTCCCGTGAAGCATTGAAAAATCAACACGAAAACTTTTGAGTCTCTTGAATTTTCTGTTGTAAATTAAGAAAGGTAATAAAGGAGTCAAAACTCTTCTAAGTGTAATTCAAGGGTGTTCATCTCGTCGTCATTTTTATTGTTGTTGAATGACAAAAGAAAAAAACAAAGAAATATTCTAATGAAAGATGTTGGAGTTTTTACGTGAAATATCAGAACTGACAATGATTGAAAATTAAAAGTTTAAATGTCCTAGATAAACAGAGTAAAAATTGGTGAAAAGAAAAAATAAAAGTTTTCAAGTTCAGAAAAGGAATTAATTATTCTAAAAGAATTTCCTTTTTTTGTCCATAAATTTATGTTGCCATGCGAAAAGATCTTTTTCATCAATTGATGTCAAAAGGAATTAAAATTTATTTCAGCGAGATTAAGATTATGCACGTTGAATAAAATGAATTCATTAGCTTTAGAAAAAATAAATTTCAATGGAGAAAAGCTGATAATTCTTTCATTACTTCATCATACTTATTATGTAATACTTTGCATTCTCATCCCGGAAAAAAACTGAAGGGAAAAAATGGAATAAAACTAGCATAACCAGCAAAAACTTGAATCTGATTATTATTCACACTATCGCATAAACACATTTCGTATTTCCTAATCCCAATCGTGTGAACTTGAGAGAAGTTGAACATTAACTTTATTCTAATGTTTTTTTAAACATTGACTGTGAAATTATATCCATCAAGTGCTTTTCATTTGAGGTATTGAGGGAAGAAAGAGAAAAAAAAGAATTTGAATTTTGTAAACAGACTTCTGTTTGCACATCTGATTTATAGCAGAAGAATTTTTCTTAAGTCTCGTGTTTGTTTGCCTTTGAAAATATCATCATTTTTCTTTCGTGTGATCAGGGCGAGTCTGATTTCGTGATGTTTGATGAAAAAATCTGAAAAATTATTAAAAGAAAATCTTTTCTTTTCTTCATGATGAAGTTGCCACTAATAGGTAGCCCACTTTCAAAGCCAATTTGCTTTCAATTTGTTCCACCAATGTTGAGAGAGAAATTATTTAAATTCATTCTCGTAGCCATGATTGAAGATTGAATAATATATTCAGACCTTAGAACATTTTTTTCTTTCATTTCACCACTGATTAATAGCAACAATGGAATATTTAAGAAAAAAATGAGCGAATAAAAAAGAGATCCAAGTGTTAATTGGATTTGAGTGTTGTGTTCGATTAAATTAAAACTGTAACAATATAATGCGAATAATTAATTACGAAAAGTTCATCTTGCTTTTTGTATCTACTCATTGAAGAATACTTCATTTTCACGAGAATTAATTGTTTTGTGTAGACATGAATTATGTTGGCATTGCTAACCAAATTAAATGAAAACAAAAAGTGTCACAACAGTGATTAAAAAAAAACTTTTCCTTTTCTTCCACCGCTCTTGACATTCTTCGCGTTTCTTATCCACGAAAAGCTTCTTCTGAGAATTGAAAAGGACTAATTAATTGGATTACTCAATCAAACTTGATAAATTCAATCAAGCACAAAGCTTCGTCAACTGGATCCATCAAGACGACATTCGAAGTCCATAGCGGTTCGCCGCGGACGAAAAGTTCAGGTGAGTGAATAGAAACCGAAAGCATGTAAAATATTTAACCAGCTATTGTGATTACATAAGTTTTAATTTCACAAATTGACGACAAAAATAACATTGTTAAGCGCACGAAAACAGATATTTCTGTCCGATGACTGTCAAAAAGAGATACTTCAGGACTCATTTACGTAATCTGGCAATTAATTCTGATGGAAGGTTTAAATTACATACATATCACTAAATTACGAAACATCCTTAACATTGAGAGAGTTATTGGTAGAATATTTTATTGCCAATATCTAAATTAAAAGGCTTGCCTTGCCAGAAAATAAAACGTCCAGTTCAGTTGTTTATGAGACAAACTTACATTTCAATTTTAGAATTGCAATTGTAAAAATTGACCACTAGCCACTAACCACTACTTTACTTTAATCGAATGTAATTTTCTAAAGCGGAATAAGATGATAAACGAGAAGAAAATTTCAATGCCATAGATATTTCATTTCCTACACTAATTTTATTGCCATTCAGGTCTATTCTCGTAGAGTCGAGAAAAAAGTTTCTGCTTTCCATTCTTTAAGCCATAAATTACTCAGTTGTAAAATGCAGAACCTTAATTTCAAAACGTTGTAATCCAATCACTGAAAAGAGCTGGTGTTGATAGTTTTTCAAACGAATTTATTTAAATAAAATGAGATTGAGACTAAAAATAAAATTCTATCAAGTAAATAAATCATTGCGGAATGTAAAAAGCTTCTTTTTTTCTTTCTTAGACTTTTCACTTTCTCATTTAAGCATCAAACGAAATTTATTCAATTCCGAGATATGATTTTTTAACTTCTAAAATGTAAATGAAAATTTTTTGAGAAATTTTAAAACCAGAAAATAGAAAATTTCCTTTTTTCCATAAAACTTTTCCAGGGCAGTGAGTTCATTCAACTGAATTATATTGCACTTTTACCATGAAAATTATGGCTGTACGATTTCTCACCATGCACTAAAAAGCAGTTTTTCCATTTAATTACAAGTATTGGAGGTGAATAATGAACGCTACTGCCTAAGTCTTCCTCAAAAGTATTTGGCCGAACATGCAATGACCCAATTTAAAAGCAAAAGCTTTCATTCCTACTTTATTTCTGTTTTGTCGGCTCGAGATATGTAAAAGTGAATTACGATCGATCGCAAAGTTTCAAGCTTTAATGTGCAATTTTAGTCGATAGTTGGTTGTTTCTTTGCATAGCTTTCTCCTTTTTTCTAGGCCACTGACCTCACATAGATCGGGCTTTTTAAAAAGGGTTCGATTTGTAGTGATTTATGACGTTACGAATGGCCGATTGGGTTTGGGTTTAAAAAATAAAACGATTTGTTTGATGATGAAAGCATTTAGGATCGAATTACTGCTTTCATACATTACTTGGGTTGCGAGAAAATTTAATCAAATAATCATCGGACATGTTGTCTCCACAATGTACTCGAAGGGTAAATATTTAAATAATGCGAGGAAGAACATAACATTCCCTTCCAATAAATCGATTTCATTTTAAATTTTTGGCTGCCACCTATGTTGTACATTTTTCTTTAATTTTATCGTCAATACATAGAAATTCTCGTAAAGAATTCCGATGATAAATCTCTTCTTTTTTTCTTCATACGCCATCAAAATATTTTTGTTTCCAACCTAACTTTGTTTGGGAATATTTTGGATAAAAGTAAGAGTATCTACAAAAGAGAAATTGTGAAAAACAAAAACATTCTCCACAGAAAAACAAGATGTAATCATGAAAAAAAGGTTTGCACAACAATTTTTTCTTCTGTTTACGCGAGTCTAGGCTTTTATTTTATTTATCAACTTTTTTCTGTGACGAAGTTAAAATTTTAGGATTCATGAGCCTTTTATGCTTGAGGTTCTACGGAACCTTTGACAATTGATGTTGCATAACATCACAAAAATTCATTCAAGTAAATATTTAAAATTATTCAATTAGTTAGACTTCAATTAAACTTAATAATTGACTTCAACATTGTCAATTTTGATCACAGAATTATTGTTCATTTTCATTTTATCGACAAAAGAATCTTTCATACTATTCAATTGGTGATAACAAAAGATCATTTTTTATTCCGATTTACGCATAACAATAAATAATCAAATTAACAGAAAAGAAATGAATTCATTTGTTCATTAAATTCATCTGCAGCCTTTTTCGGTGATGGTTGCAAAAATGCGATTTAATTTATTTTCTTTTCCACAGACAATAAATTCACAGTTCAAAGCGGAATAAGAGAAAAAAAATAAATAAATATCTTCAATTCTGTCAATGTGAGGGTTCATTCTATATAATTTGACTTGTTATGTGCTGATATGGCAATAAATTTCTTTCTTCCAGTTCAGTTTTTCCTCCAAACTCATTTGTTTGGTTAAATACTAACAAATTGTGGTCGTTTAGTTTTCATTGATTTTTTCATTTTTTCTCACGAAACATAAAGAAAAATCTTACAGCAAATTGAGCAGACGTGAAGCGTTTTTAACATTAAATGAGTTACCACGCTGACACCAGAGTTTTATTCTTTCTTTTTGTCTTATTTCAGTTTTGTGAATGGGAAGATAATGATGTTCATGATATATCCGATGTCGGTAAGTTAACAATCGTAACAAGGAGAGTGTGCGTGAGTTGTTTGTATATCCATCGTTCATCGCTCAAGTAATTCAACCATCCCCATTGTCATTCTTTCGCTTTCACTCCAACAAGCAAAACTTCGAAACAATTGTCGAAGCTGAAATATTTTTGACTTATAGATCTCATATATGGTTGTGTTCTTGATATCCCACATTTATCTCAGATTCATTCGCATTTCACATCATAATTCGTGCCTTCTTTTTATTTCACTCATATGTTCCATCACCAAAATATTTATCAAAACCATTTCCATTTCCTTGTTTTATGTTAGCTTTTGTGGTTTTGCGAAGTGCCTAAGAACACGAAAAACGTTTTCAAACTAAAAGATTTCAAACAATGACATACCATTCCATCATGTATTTAGTCGTTTATTAAATATTTCATTTCCTACACCTCTCTTTGTGTAGATTTTCCATTAAAAATATCAAATTGTCGATAATTCCTAAATATTTAGATGTTACATGTATTTATTATGCAAAGCTTCCAAGCAATTTGTATCAGACGCAGAGGTAAAATTCATTAGAACGATGAGAGAAATCACTTTCCTTCCAATGCAATCATTTCAAAAGCTTTAATCTGTTGAGTTCATAGCAAAAACAAAAGAGAAATCTCATTTTCATCACCGTAAGATTATAAAGATAAAGTAGTAAAACGCTTGAAAATTTTATCATAAAATTAAGAGCGACATGTGACCTACTCGGAGTAAACCTTTAAAAGTTTATTTTCTGCTCATAAACAACATAAAGTAATTTGTAAAGAAGTTCGCGCACAGAATGTTGAAGATAGAAATTATTTTGATGACTTTTTGATGAAACAAAGCACTTGAAGAAACGAAGCGTACAGTGAAGACTGTTGGTATAAGAAAATTCTTAATGTTATTCAAAAGCTTTTTATGTCAAGATTTCACTGTATTTCAATTTCACAATTTTTTCCTAAATCCTTGGAGCTTTGATCTCCCACTGAGAATATTTAATAAATTGCGATGCTAAATAAATATTACCTTGGTAAACTGTTATGCTTTGTAATGCATAAATATGTTTGGATTCCCAAAGCAAATATAAGTATACATCCATGTATCTGAAATCATGAAATCACTATGTCATTACCTTTACGTCTTTGTTGTGCATTGTTTCGCGATTCTAATTCTACTTTAAACACAAGAGTAGACTAATTCAACCTTTTTCACTTTAAGACTTTCTGTCCTTATCTCTCTTCTGTCGTCTGATATAAAAGTTTAATTGTGATTTCCTTCAAGTGAGTTTTAAAGGTTTATTAGTTTCTCACACAACAAGCGTCGTGAAATCCTTATGTTACTTTAAAAAACCTTAAAATAATTTAACCGTCGTCTGATTTCGATGTTTTATGTTCCTTCCGTATATTTAATGGTAAACTTTGGTTTCCTTCCTGTCAAATACTAATTTTTATCATTTCTTTTTTCTAATTTTGTTTCGTTTCAGAAGTGAAAATAGAAATTGTAATTTAAGAAAAATATATAATCGAACAATTTTTGAGTATTTCTGAGGCGTCAAAGATTGAATAAAAGTAAAGATTTTATATATTTTTCGTCTTCCGTATCAAGAAAGAGTTAATGATCCAGTTAATCAAGTGTAAATTAATTTTCTTTAATTTCATAATTCATGTTCTGTTTTGAGTAGCTTCAATGTTATGTTACTGAATATTTAAAAGAATAATTTCGAAATTAGATAACTTCTTCGTATGCAAGTTTCTCATGATAAAACAATTAAACTTATTTGCATGTTTTAAAACTTTCTTATTATCTATCCTATTTTATTAATTAAGTTATTTCTGCAACTTGAATTCTCTAGCAGTTTGTAAGCTCGTTTATCGAAGAATTAAAACTGAGCGTACTCAACCCACAGGCATCATTCACCGTTGATATTATGTATGCTAATTAGTATGTCCCTGAGTACTGAATGTAACGAATCCCTTTATGATCTACTAGTTCATTGCATGTTTATTGGGGCATCAAAAGCAGATTCACAAACTTTCTTCCATTGAATACATTTATGTAAAACCTAACATCACATTTTTACAGAATAAAACTTAAAACAAAAAAGTAAAGCAAATATTTGAATATTTAATTACTTTTTCAAAAAGGAACGAGTTTCTAGAGAAGTTTTATCGACGAGTTCAACAATTGTGAACAGTAGGAAGTAGGAAAACACAATTATTTCATAAACATTAAAATATTGGGTGACATCACTGTTCATTACTCAAATGAAAAAAGTTTCTTAATAAGAATAAATTTTAAAGTTCTCCTTTGTTTTACCTGAAAATATTCTTTTCAAGTTAACTTTCTTATGACATGCTAAAAAAGACCGATGTAGATAAATTTTTCTCTTTTCATATTTTCCCTAAAAGAATTCATTAAACTTAAAAAACCAAAATCTCCGCATGTGGGAGAAAAACAGCACTCGAGATAAAAAAAATCTTCAAACATTTTATTCTTCATAATTCCATGAGCATTCACTTTATTTATGCACGGCAAGGCAATGTTTATCACTTCACAGCTTTAGTAGCTTTGTTCAAAACACATTGTATTTATGTTGTTAGTAAAAGAATGCACAAATGAACAAAAAATTAAAATAAAATACTAAAAAGAAACATTTTTTAGTGCTTTTGGAGACACGAGAGAAAATCTGAACACGTAACAATGCTTTGACTGTCGCTGAAAATAATTTATATCTACACTGTTATTATGCTTCCAATTTTCTCTCCACGTCATATGATTTTAATTTTCTAGTTAAAAATTTTAATTACATCACATGATCTAAATTCTTCTTTTCTCTCTTTTGCTCTTTCTAATTGTTTTTCTTTCTTTTTTTTCGTTTATTTCATACATATTCATAATGTATACTCGGCATTTTTTATATATTGTTATTATTAAACTGAAAATTGAATATTTTCATCCGTAAAAATGTAAATATTTTGCTGGACAATTTATTTTATTATGGTAATCTCAATATCGCACGAGTAGAGAGTACGGAGGAAAATGTGGAGCAAGACGACACGATGGAAAAATCAGATGTAAAAAGTGAAGAAGAAAATTCCTACGTGAGCTGCTATCCAAACACTCGCCGTTACTCATTAGCGAACACAATGGCTACAAATCGTCAACAATATCATACTGATAATCAAGGCTACAGCATAGATGTTCCCGGAAGTGATGATGAAAAGCAGAAGCAGAAGAAAAAACAAGAAACTAAAATTGATATGCCATCGTCGCAGCCACCCAGTTACAGCTCCGTACATGAGAAAATGGCAGACAAAAAGGTTAAAGTATGTGATGCTTCAAATCTCTTTACGAAACATAAACTTTCGATGAGTTTTTTTTCCTTTTCCTTATCCACGATATCCGGTTATAATCTCAGGTGGAATGTGAAGCATGAATATTACATAACCGATAACCATTCATTCAGAGATATCGAACGAATATCGAAAGGAGACAAAAAAGAGTGACGTGACAAAGAAGAACAAGTTGATTAACATATGAATTTGCATATCACAAAAAAAGGATTCAAGACGAGACAGAAAATGTTTTTGTCGACATTCTTGTGATATTGACATTACGAACAAATTTGCAAATAGATTTTAAAGAAGCTTTCAAGAGTCGTTTGAACTAGAAATATAAAATTTCAAAGATTTGTTTGAAAAGCTACTTTCAGTTATTTCATGAACTCATTAGAATTTTTTTTATGACATTTTCTTGTAACTTGGACAAGAAAGAAATAAGCTGCTACTTATGTTTTAAGAGTATTAAGATTTTAAAGTAAACTTCTAACAATTTTGTCCTCTCTCAAAATTGTTCTGTACATCATGTTAATTTATTTAAATGAAATTCACCTTCGAAGTAATGAGAATGTTCAGATACCACGAACAAAGTTAACGACTTTCGAATTATCTGTTAAAGATAAAACTTCAATCTTTCAGTTTCATTTTCTTTGAATTAAAGTACACACATCTACAGATATCTTGTACATGTTGATATTTAATGAATTGCACTTCCCCAATATGACCTCAAGATGATTAGGAGGACTGTCAAAGAATTTCATCACAAAAACAACATTGAAAAAGTTTTCGTCATGAAGTGAGCAAAGTAAAACATCTCATCATACTGTTTTAATAATATCGAAACTCAGTGAAAAACATGATGAAATGTGAAAAAGTTTTAAGTTTTCTTTCTTTTCGCTGTTATTGAGAATTTCATTGGAAATTTTAAGCTCTTTACAATTATTTTCAATGCTATTTAATCACGGCATCGTTCATGACAGTATTTTATCAGCATCACATCCTTGAAATGAATCAAACATAATTGGCGCTGAGGAGAGAATAGATAGCGATAAAAAATTGGTTTCAGATCACTTTTCATCTTTTTTATGCGACAACGTGTCTCTACAAAATCGTAAGTTAGAAAACAGTGAATGAATACAGAAGAAGATGGAGACGAAGCATTCATCTTAGTTCAAGGAATTCATTTTTTTACAGTCTCACGCGTTAAAGCTGGAAAATGTTATCACAAAATAAAAAAATCATCATCTTTAATAGTGGGTTTACATTGATTTTCTTTCTTCTCAGTCGAACAAATGTAAACATTTATCATTTCTAGTCAACACAAATTTTTTAGGAGTAGGAGTAAGAGAAGTGGAAAGAAATGAAAGACAAGCGACGAAAACTTGAATTAATCATAAATGAAAGATGGACATAGAATGACGAATGCTTTTAATTTGAAACAATTATCCTCAGAATAACGAGAGAATCGAATTTTATTTTTGTTTTCTTGGGATTTTCTAAGAAACATGACAAACGATTACGCGTCACTTTCATCACGACAGCGAGTAAGACAAATAAAATAAAAAATCTCCTTAAAATCAACCACAAACCCGAATCGTAATCTTGAGTCTCAATTCAACCATAAAGCAATGTCGCTTGCTAACTTGATTAATTTGTTTTATTTTTCTTTTGAACTAGGTCGTTGCTACCATCAATGAATTCAACGATCAGAGAGAAAAAGAAAAAAGTTTTTTAATGTTCCCGCGACCAAACCAGAAAATTTACCAACGACAAAGACCAAACAAGAAAATGTTTCGTTTGGCAAAGTTTTCCTTTCCTCATGCTTCATGAACATCCGCCAAAGTTTCTTTTCTCTTTTTCTTTTCACCAGAATTTACTGGTAAATAGATTTCATTCATTCATTCTTGTCCCGTTTGTTAACTTCTAAGCTGTCTGAAATGACGAAGAATCTTTTACATTTTGAAGCAAAATGATTCCATTTCTATTATCAGTCGTCACGGAAAATTGACCTCGACAACAAAAGAATTTTCTTCACTCGACAATTATTAAAAAATTCTTGGTAATGACTTTCAATGCATAAATGTTCATGTTGTTGCTTTAATTTTTGAACTAACCAACATGCATCACCTGCCACATTATTAAATGCAAATCCATTAGCATCCAATAATTCAAAGAAATAAAACATTGAGAGTATACATTGCGTGGGTGTAGAATTAAAAACACAAATTTTCTCTCGCAACGAAATAAATATTTCTCTGCTTAAGTCATCAGTTAAATTAATGGCTTCTTGTAAATTAGTCATGTACAATTAATTCCTGAATTGTTTGTTCAACCGCTTGAAAGTTAAAAGAATTTTTTGTCTCATTAAGCTGTTGAGTGCAGCATTATGACGTTGGTGATGAGAGCAATAGCTTTATATCTAAATAAATTTTCCAATCATCGTCGTGCGATTTTCATCAGCTCTTGTCTGTCATGAAAGGAAGAAAAAAACAGAAATTGTTGTTGATAAGTAATGGAAAATCTCATGAGTCATGAAGATGATGAAAAATTCATTTTTCTTAAGATGATCCATTGCTCAGAGATAATCTAAGATCTAACAGTTCTTTTTATCGTTTGCTCCTATCTACTAAAAATGAGTTTCAGCGTCATAAATTTTATTGGATTTGTGTCTCGTTCAGGGATGAAAGCACTTTGAATCATTTGTAATGGCATCGTCACCACAATTTAAATAAGGCGCCGGATGAAATTACTTCTGTTATTTTGAATCCTTTTTGTGTTTAAGCTCCAAACAAATAAATTGATGTGACAAAACTTTTCGATTCTTTAAACAATTTTTCTACACTATAAACATTTGAAAGAACCAGATGCTCTTGTTTGTCTTTCTCTATCAAAAAATCAAACTTTCATTTTTACTAAATGAAATCAATATCCCTCATACTCCCGCATTATTATTTTTAATTTATTTCTGAAGAGATTCTCCATTCATGGAATGATGGAAGAAGAAGGAAACGCGCTTAAACCACATCAGGAAATTGCTGCACTCTCACTTGAAGAGAAACGATTTTTGCTTGCGGTGGAACGCGGAGATGTGGCGAGCAGTCGAAGGTAATTGTAAAATTTATTTTCTCTCAAAACCTGACAGTTTCCCCCTTTCCACAATAACGTCATTTGCTTTTCTCCCCTTCTCACTCATTCATGGTTCAAATAAACGCCATTTATTGAGATAAATATTTACTCTTTCCGTCAATTTTTTTTCTTTTCTCGTTGGCTCTTCGTAAACACACGAAACACAAAATGTAAAAAAAATCCGTTTAATCGTGCTTCAGAATGCTTCAGAAAGCGCAAGAGACTGGCTACATTAACATCAATTGCGTGGATCCATTGGGTCGTTCAGCATTGTTGATGGCAATCGACAACGAGAATTTAGAAATGGTTGAATTGCTCATAAATCATCGTGTTGACACGAAAGACGCCTTACTACACGCTATATCCGAAGAATTCGTGGAGGCAGTTGAAGTGCTTTTAGATCATGAGGATTGTTCACATCGTGATGGTGATCCACATGTAAGTAATGGAAACTTAATAGTGCTTGTAAAATTAAATAAACAATTCAATATTCTTCACATTGACATGTCTGAGAAAGTTAATGAATTAATTCTTCCATCTTTCGTTTCATGCATCAATTGTAACAGAGTTGGGAAGCGCTGCCACATGACAGAGCGACGTTTACTCCAGGTACTTTAGAAAATTACTTAAAATGTTGATAAGATTTACCTTTTCTTTAAAAAATGACAAGGATATATGTACATTAAAAAGAATAAGAAGAAGAGTTTACATTCACAGCATGACTGTCACTTTATCACTTTTATTTCTACAGATATTACACCGCTCATTCTTGCCGCTCATCGAGATAATTACGGTATGGGAAAATCATCCGCTGCTATCTCCCATCAAATGAAAAGGAAATTTTTTTAGACTAATGAAATTTTATTTCATGTTTTCTTCCCAGAAATAATCAAAATTTTATTAGATCGCGGATCAACGCTGCCGTTGCCGCATGACGTGAGGTAAACTCAGATACCAAAAAATAAAACTCTCATCTCTTAGTTGCTTAGAGGTTGAAATCTCATTTATTTATTGTTAAAAAAAATTTTGCTTCATTCCTCACTGTGCATAACAAACAAAAAATGAAAAAATTTATAATTGCTTATCATAATTCATGATGCTGTGGTAACAATGTTGATCTTTGCTTATCATTTCTTCCATTTATAAAGATGTGGCTGCGATGAGTGCGTGACATCGCGACAAGAAGATTCACTGAGACATTCGCGGTCAAGAATTAATGCCTATAGGGCACTTGCCAGCCCTAGTTTGATAGCTTTATCTTCGAAAGATCCAATTTTAACTGCCTTTGAATTATCATGGGAATTGAGACGTTTGAGTTTTTTGGAGCATGAATTCAAGGTAAGAAAAAAATACAGATTGACGACATGGATTTTTTACGACTGATTTTCATTTGTTTTCAACGTTAAAACGTTAATCAAAGTTGATGTGAGAAAGTCGTAAAAAGTGAATCGAAGGCAATTTAATTTCTTATTTTTTTCCCTTCTTCTCTTTCTTTCGCTCTTTTCACGATTCGCTGGTGTTATTGAATTGAAAATCCATAAAGAATGAGTATTTGGAACTGCGAAAACAGTGCCAAGATTTTGCTACAGCTTTATTGGACCACACGCGATCATCACACGAGCTTGAAGTACTTTTAAATCACGATCCTACAGGGCCTGCCTTTGAACATGGTGAACGGATGCACCTTAATCGTCTCAAATTGGCAGTTAAACTACGTCAAAAGAAGGTGAGAGAGTGAAGTTTTATTTACATGACTTACATGGCATTCATGATGAAGCGCTGGCGGAAAGAAATCTCTCAAAAACTCTTGCTTGAGTTTGCATAATAATAAATTCATATTCTCGCACTTTTATCGCAGTTATCCTTACATTTTGTGTAAATAAGTATGATTTTGTGTGAAAGTTAGCAAGTGTTTCTTTTTTCTACCCACTGCTATGAGAAATGTAAAAAAGAAACGCAAATATGTTTCGCTTTCTTAGCGATGCTAAGAATAATGATAATTTACTGTCTTTATTAAGCTTAGAAAAACCCCGACTGCTTAAGAAAGCAGTTTAAGACGCTTTCAAGCGAAAAATCAAGGAAGTTAACAACGCCATTTGTTCGTTAAACAACTTGCTTCGTTTTACTCTTCATTTTTTTCAATGTTAAGTTATGTTGTGAGATTTCTTTTCGAAACAAAAGCGTCCTGATCATGCATGTGAAGAAATATTTTGAATTTCTTTCGTAAAAGTAGAAAAATAATCCAAATCAATGACTGTCTTTGACATCATCGAACAGAAATCAATGAAGCAAATGTTACCAGAATATTTTTTTTTTGACTTTTCTAAAATGATTGGTGAACAGAATAGAATTAAATAGAAAATTTGTTCCACACCCTCGATGGAGGAATTCTTTTTCATAGTAAATGTTTGATAAATAAACAGTTAAACATAAATTATAGCAACCATTTCCACTTCATTTAGAGAGGGAATTGTATGAAAAACGAAATTCATTGAATGCGGGACATTTATAATGTTTTAAGAGAAATTTGGTGTTCGAACTCTTTAAACATGCTAAAGGATAACTTTTATTTTGTTTCAAACATTAAAAAATAATATAAAAAATACGAAACACGTAATGCTCTCAAACAATGTGGCAGCATAATTAATATCGTGGATTTCATTTAAAACTCAATTTATTCTTACTGACACGAAAACATCACTTTTTGAGCCGTGTCGAGTTTTGTGAATTGGAACAGAATACTGTCAACGGATACGGGAACATAATTTCAATGCGAAGCGTGAACTAACTTCCCTTCAAGAGCTTCTACATTTATGAGCCGATGGCAGCATACAGAACGAATTCAAGCGAATGGAAAAGTTACGAGATAAATTTTCGCGACAATGTGTTCACAATGATTGTCATTTATCACCACAGTTTTCGTCCAAAGTAAAAAAAAGAAGAAAGTTTCATTAAAAGCTAACAAAAAAGAACATTTTTCTCGTCAGCATTAGAACTTTTTCATACTTGTCGAGATGAATTGTTTATTAGAGCCGAAATTTTCTTCCAACAAATGTTATAAGATTAGGGCATTTCAGGACCTTTTAGACGAGCGTTATATGAAAAAGTATAAGAGCTTTCAAGAAATTGGTCGTTTTGTGAAATAAAATCAGATTTTCCTTTTAATATTTATGGCATGAACTTTAGAGTTATGCGACTGTCGATATTTTGGAAACTCTAAAATAAAAGCCTGATAATGATGATACTTCGTTCATTGATTTAGCCTCGTTTATGTTATTCGTTGTTAATGTATATGTTTAAAGATAACAGGACTTGAGAAATATAATACATAATTTATTCAAAATCTCGTATCAACTTAAAGGCAAATTCAAAAAAACATGTTTGAAAATATAAAAAGTAAAAAAATTTTCTTTTCACATATTCACATTCATATCACTTTGATCAAAAGCCTTCAATATTTATATGTTAACTTTTTTATAACAGTCATTCATAGAATTTGATGCGAGGTGGAAGCTTGGAAGTGTGTCAACAATTTCAACAGTCAATGACTGATTTCTCTTTAAAGATTCGTTTTATAATGATGTGTCGAGAGAACTCTCCACAAAAGAAAGTTTCAACATCAATTCGACTTTCAACAATCTCAACAAAATTTTAAAGTATTTCTCTCGTCATAAATTGAATTCTTCAGATTTTTCTGATAGAATTCTCTTTAAGAATTAAATTCGAAAAAAGTAAGAAAATTACCCGCAAATATTGGAAATATCATCAAAAAATTTCATCACCATTAAAACAATTCAATTTGTAAGCAAGCAGAAGATAACCCAAAAACCAAAACATGTCACTTACAAATCATCCCTTAAGGGAAAGTTGTTGAGAAATTCATATGTACGTACGAAGAAATGTCATATTGTGAAGCATAAAGTTGAAGAGTAAAAGGGAAGAAAAATGAAATTCTTATATCAACATTCACAATGAGCTTCCATTTCCTTTTTCATATGTCTCGGGGTTGTTACACATTTAATGGTGTCATGTGTATTCTTGAAATTGAAATCCTCTCAAGCTGTTTGCTCTATTGGGCATTCAAATTCGAATAAAAAAGAATCATTTATTAGACTAATAAATCATTGTCCTTTGATTTATGTAATGACACATTCTCTTCCCCAATGACCAAACCCTCACGTATATGAATGCAAAATTGATCTACGCCTGAATGTTTTTTTTTATTTTTTCCAATAAATGAAATTCGCATCATTCCAATATGTTGCGAATCGTTCGCTATAACCTAAACAAGACAATTTCCGTGCCTAAAGACATATGAACATTCACAAATACCGACAATTTTAAAAGCTATCGGAATTTCTCATCATACAAATTAAGACAAATTGTGTGTCCTTTGAAAGGAAAATACCTTTAATGAGCTTCATTTGTTATGGTATTGTGAGCGTTGTTATCACCTTTGGTAGAACTTTCCTTTACATACTCAATCGACTCTTGTTCGTGCTAAAGAAACCAACTTTGGTTTCATTTTCTCGGAAACTTAGAACGTTGAATGCGACATGATCATGTTTTCCAGACATTTTCAATATCATCAAAATAAAGCTCATTGTAAAATTTTCATTCGATGGTGAGTTGGATACGAAAATCATTGCGAAAATCTAATCCAAGTCAACATCAAACAATTTCCTTTCATCATTCTCTTGGGTGTTATACATTGAAGTGATAACCTATGGGGTTTTATAAAGTCAATTAATGTAAAGTTCAAGAGTGAAATCAAACAACAAATGAAGTGAAAATGTTCCATAACGTTTATTTTGTTTACTTATCTGTTCGATTATTCACGCAATACTTGATGAATTCTCAATGGTTTCTGAAAACATTGCATTGCAATATCATACTTATCGGCTGTCGGATGATGGATTGTTTTTTCAGGTTCCAACGTTCTGAATTGACATCCTTACCAAAAAAAAAGTGTTAGATATATTGTGCACTACATATAAGGCTGTCGCCTAATGAAATGTAAATATTTACAGCACTCATTAACCCTCTTAAAAATTCTCGTTACAGTTTGTAGCACATTCGAACGTACAGCAATTGCTTGCGTCAATTTGGTATGAGGGATTGCCTGGCTTTCGTCGAAAAAACATGGCATTACAATCTTTAGAAATTTGTCGAATTGGTAAGAGGATTAAAATGAAAAAAAAAATCTTTTTCAAATTACACATTCACCCAAAATGACTTTTCTGTACTTAGAAACATTTCACAGAGATTTTCCACATTTCAGTTTTATCACTTAACACATCACTTAACTTGAATCAAACGAAAATTAATTAAACTTTTGACATACACTTAAATATATGACATCGTAAAAAGACCTTTTATTGGTCATCATTCAAGTGAATCGTGAATATAGTTTAATTCACTTAATTGTCTTCACAGGAATGATGTTTCCCTTATTCTCATTCGCATACATCCTTGCTCCACATTCATCGTTTGGACAGACAATGAGAAAGCCATTTATTAAATTTATTTGTCACAGTGCATCGTATTTTACTTTTCTGTGTAAGTACCAACAAGAAAATAAATTCCACATAAGTAAGTAACTTTAGAAAACCGCATCTTAACATGAACAAAAGCATTTTGCTATCATGTCGTTTGCTGAGTGCCATGCTAACATTGGAGGTTGGAAAGAGAGAAGAAAGAAAGAAGCCACAGCACTTAACAAACATGAACTTCTAAAATTTTTTATGTCACATCAAAAATCTGTGCTGCTTTTAAAAGCTTTATGATTAAATCTGAGATATTCAACCTTGCTTTCATACTTAGAGTTAGTTTTAAAGCGGAGATAAATTATACTCTCCGCGAAATAAATAAAGTGAATGCAATTAAATTTCAAAGGTTTTCTATTACAGTTCTCTTAATGCTTGCATCGCAACGAATTGAGTCTGTGATGGATTTCTCGGGTGAAAGTTCTTTTGACGACGACGTTCCAACAAAACGTGGAGCTGCACCCACGTTGATCGAGATGTTTATTTTGTCATGGGTTAGTGGTAAGTTGTCAACAAGTCTTTGTTTTTCCATCGCAATAAGTATTTTTCGATAATAAACGTTTACATCCCAGTGAGCAAAGTTTTGATTATATTTCTTTTCTTTGACCTTTATTTGAATCCATTTAAATGACACATGTCAATTTTAAATTGATCTTTGAAATCTCATCGTAAAAAGCCTTTTACGTGCAAGGAATTTTTAGGATAAATTGTGAACGATTTTAAAAGCCATTTTCAAAGTTTTACTTTTCACCTTTCTGGGACAAATAAAAGAAGATCGATTCGTTTTTCCGTAATTGGATTTCTATTGACTTCCATTTGAAATGGGGAAAGCTCGATAATCCTCATATGTATATGAAGAAGATCTCTTCCTTTTACTCATTTCGATATTTCCGACTACATATATTTGTCTTTTACGCTTGTTTTTCGCTTGAATTGTCGAACAACACTCAATGATTGAATTATCGCACATTTTAGGATTGATATGGAGTGAGGTTAAACAGCTATGGGATGTTGGTTTACAAGAATACGTTCACGATATGTGGAATGTGATAGATTTTATAACAAATTCATTATACGTTGCAACAGTCGCACTTCGTATCGTTTCCTATTTTCAAGTGAGTTTTCAAATAAAAGAACTTAAATGAAAACGGAAAATTCATTACTTTACTCCACACATTTAGGTGCAAAAAGAAATGGCAATTGATATATACGCAGCCGATTTACCACGAGAAAAATGGGACACATGGGATCCAATGTTAATATCCGAAGGGCTGTTTAGTGCTGCTAACATCTTCAGTTCCTTAAAGCTCGTTTACATTTTTTCGGTGAATCCACATTTGGGGCCGTTACAAGTTTCATTATCAAGAATGGTCACCGACATCATGAAATTCTTCTTCTTATTCGTACTCGTTTTATTTGCTTTCAGTAGTGGCTTAAATCAATTATTGTGGCAAGTATCCTTGATGTGGTTGCTTTTACTTTCATCGGATTCATAAATAACTTTTTCTCCTACGACTTTTATTTTATTTTTATCGTCTCTTGAGATCATTTTCTTTGACTTCCTTCATTCTTCTTCTTATTGTTGCTTTCACTATCAATGACATTTTTAGGTACTACGCTGATTTGGAGAAAAAGCGATGTCCCGATACAACAACAACAGTTTCAGTGACAAATGCATCGGATCCGAATGCTTGTTTAGTTTGGAGACGTTTTGCTAAGTAAGTGAATAGAAATTTATGTGAATAGGATTCATTGACTGATAAAAATCAATTTTCTAGTCTTTGGGAGACATCACAAACACTTTTCTGGGCTGTTTTTGGACTCGTTGATTTAGATAGTTTCGAGTTGGATGGAATAAAAATTTTTACACGTTTCTGGGGCATGTTAATGTTCGGGTGCTATTCGGTCATAAACATTGTGGTGCTGCTGAATTTGCTTATAGCAATGATGAATCACTCATATCAACTGATATCGGTAGGAGAAATTTTTTGTTCGTCGATTATTTCTTTGTTAGTAGGAAAAAGAAAAAAGAAAATTCGTTATACATAATATCTTATCTTCTGACGTAGGGTTTTCCTAAAACCCGTATTCCATTAAGCTGAAATTTAAGAACAGAATTTAAGAAACTTACAAATCTTGCATTGACTTCTCTCACTCACACTTTCAGTTTCTCGACATTTTATTTAATGAAAATTGTGAAAGAAAATCTTGGAAAGAGAAATACAAATTTTGTCAAACCCTATACTGTAGGTATTCAATGCAAAAGATGGAAATATTCTTAAGTGATGACATCTTTAAAAGAAAAATAATGAAAATTCTTTCTAGTAATATTTCAAAATTTATTTATGAGAATTCATTCAATTTAAATTTTTAAGATTAACGACACGAAAAGAATATTAAATATATGAAAGTGTTACAAAAATGTCTTGATTTATACGACAATTTGTTAGTCTCAGAATTTCGATATGAACTGGAAATCTTTCCACCAATATCACTGACACTCCTTGCCAAAGACTGAAACTGACGTTAATAAATGTAAATTTTATTCCATCTTTCCAACATATATCTACTTTCTCTTCTTTCTCTTCATTCTTTCTTGTTTCGTTTTCGCAAATCATTTATCCCATACAGGAACGAGCGGATATCGAATGGAAATTTGCAAGATCCAAGCTATGGATAAGGCAAGTGAAATTTTTATTCGGAGGTTACTCCTTAAACTCTTTTCACATCTCAAAAACTTAGATGAAAGCTTTTCAAACTCATCTTTCTTCCTTTACAGCTTTTTTGAAGAAGGAGCGACTGTGCCGCCTCCATTCAATATCATTCCCACACCCAAGTCGTTGCTTTATTTTACGCAATGGATAAGAAGGAAGTTTTTTGGGCAATCAAAGGCTATAAAGAAAGAGCACATGAAGACAATTCGGGTAAGCGAATACAATAGAAATTTATGATTACTCACGTAATAAATATTCATTCTTGAATACTTTCATTCATTCATTCATTTTTTCTACGCGTTCTTTAACAATGCATACAAATTTATTATTTTACTTTGACAGAAAGTGAAACAAGCAAGCGAGAGAGATTTTCGTTATCAAAGTATTATGAGAAACTTAGTGAGACGTTATGTGACGGTACAACAAAGAAGAGCTGAATCACAAGGTGTTACTGAAGATGACGTAAATGAGATCAAACAAGACATTTCAGCTTTTAGATGCGAATTGGTTGAAATTCTGAAGAATAGTGGAATGAATACTAGCACAGCTTCTGGAGGTCCTGGAGGTGCTGGTGGAAAGAAGAATAGGCAGAAAGAGAGAAGACTTATGAAAGGTTTTAATGTCGCTCCATCAATAGGATCAACGTCATTAACCCCTGTAAATGAGAATGGCAGTGATTTTCCTCTAGATCATCTTGGTTCACTTGAATTCTCTGCATTAAGTGGGTTGTTTGGTCCAGGAATAACTCCTCGCAAGCAAGGTCCACCTAACCCTTTGCAACAACAATTGTCAACCTCACAAAGTTCATTTGGTGAATCAAATAATCCTATTCACAAACTTAGTCGTTTAGCACCTAAATTTCACTCTAAACGTAGCAGTGGCTCTCATAAAAGAAAATGGGGTAAATTTTTTCAATTCACTTTTATGCTGCTTCTTTGAACATGTTTGCATCTGTCTCTCTTCACATTTTTCTGATTATTTATTAAAACTTTCTAATTGACAATTAACAAATTCTCAAACACATCGAAATAAAAGAATTGAAAACTCCGATTAAAAGGAGATTTGCTTCAACCATGAAGAAATAAAAACAAAAGAAAAACAAAAACATTAACAAAAATTATCACATAAAATATTATCGTTGCAATAATTTTTATGACTTTTGTAAAAAGAAATGGATTGGTAAACATAAATAGTTATGATCATAAAGCTGAAATTACGTACTATTTATGATACATTCAGAAAAAGTATATTTATCTTATTGCCTTTAAAAATTCTCATATTATTAACTGTTTGGTAAAACAAAACATTTCTGTAACATAAAAAAAAAATAATTTTTTACAAAGAAAGATTAAAAAAGAACAAATTTCGGATGTAAACGTAACGAATAATTCTTGATATCAACACACAGGCACTCTTATTGAAGCAGCGAAATCAGGTAGTGTATCCCGTTTTATCGGTCGTTCACGTTCGGAAGATTCGGTTTGTAACTCGCCAAGTAATATTGGTGGACGTAGTGAATCTGCCAGTCACAGTAATAGCCCCAACTCCGATGAAGCGGTAACAGAATCTCCAACAGATTCAAATCCTAGTCTAGATAAGCCCGATGTTGAGCACAAGCACCGTCACGAATCGTCGCAACATCCAAACGACCAACAACGAAATAGTAATGTTCGTAGTCCCCAATCAAATAGCAATAATAGCCATAAAAAAGAGCATCACCATCTGCATATGCATTTGAATTTCGGTGCTTTAGCGGCACTTAAACGCAAACGAAAAAAGTTCTCGAATAGTAGGAATGAAAGTCCCGTGCTTGAACCACCTCCTGAGCATACTTCACCCACAACTAGTATTAAGAAATCGATCAAAAAAGTAATTACCTTCTCTTATTCCTATCTTGAAGAAAATTTTCTTGTTTAAAATGTTTAATTTGGCATGAAATTATTTTTGCTTTGAGCGCACAAACACGAAAATGATTGTGTGATTCCAACTTTCTTTTATATTTCTTAATTTCTGGAACAGACATTGCAAAGGGCATCTAGTGTTCCAACCCGCCCGAACGTACCTGAACCCAACCAATTTCAGCCATCACGTCATGAGCAGACACAGAGTCAAGATCAAGATACGTCTCAAGAGATTACAATTGAACCGCCACTGACGCCATCAACAACTGAAGAGAGTGTTGCACCCACAAGCATGGAGCCATTGTTAAATCTGACAAAGGGAAATGTGAACGTTAACAGCAACATAAAATTTGAGCTCAATGGTCAACAAGCACTTCCCAATCTGCCTGGAATAATTCCATTGCAAGGACATCTACATCAACAGGGATGGTTATAGATCTTAAGCGTCTTAGGACATAAAATTAAAGTGAATTGTTTATTTGCTTCCTCGCTTTCTTCCCCTGCTCCAACTATTATTAAGCTTCGAAACTACACTTTCCAGTTATAAAAAGTTTTTAAGGACATTTTTATTTCATTCATGACAATAAAAGAAAACAAAGTTATTGTCGTAAGTTACGCAAGAAGAAGAGATAAAGGAATAAAACAAGAACAAAGACGCAATATTGAGCTTTCGAATTGACTTTAAATGTCTTTGTCATGACAGTCAATTTAGGGAAAATTCAATTGCGTTTAACTAAGAAAGAAACATGAATTTTTAAAAATTTGTACTTATAAAAACATTCGTTTGGTGATTGATAGCTTTTATCCTTGTTGAAGTATTTATAGTCGCACAGCTTCTTTCCATTGCTTTAAATTTATTCCAAAAAATGTATTCTTATAGTGATCATTCAAGTTATTACATCTGTAATCTGTTATGAATGATTTAGAAGTCATGTTAGAAACAGCATAAAGTATATTTCAAGAAAAAAACGAGAAAATTATCGTACAATTGAATTTCATAAAGCAGAATTCTAAATGATTAAACACAGATCGAGCAAAATTTTTAGGTCCTATGGATGATTAGAAAAGGAAAATCAATTATTCATATTCCTATTTTTTCCCTCTTGTTATTTAAATAAATACAACGAAGTGTTGAAATGAGATGATAGAACTAAACCAGAAGCAGGAATAAATTTAGAAAAATAAAAAGAAAAACATGGAAAAGTCGAGTCAAGGAAAGGCTTTTAAACTACTTCCTAAACGAACCCCAATCTATGCTAAAAATTTGCATTTTATTTACGGTCAAGAGTCATCATCTCAACACGAATCTAATTCCCAAAACATCGTTTGAGTAACCTTTTTTTCTTTTATTATAAAATCATCAGCATTTCGTGTATTTCATGATAAATGATGAAAGTTTTCTTTACAAGCATGAAAAAGCTTCGTTTGAGAAGCTTTTTCACTTCTGGGTAACAAAAAACGAGAAAAATTCATTATGCAAAAATCACACGAAAGTCATAAATCATATGATAAAGCTTTTTCTAGTCTAATCTGAAAATAACACTTAAAGTTTGTTGGCGAAGCACGAGAGATGTTTTAAAGCCGGAACAGAAATTTTAATTGAGGTTAAACATTCGTTTACTTAGTTGCAAATTGCAATGAATGGAAATAAACTCGTTTTGCAAGCAAAAAATTTGTTTAGGTTTCATCAAAAAGTTCTTATTTTTCTTTTGTATAAAAACGAAATTTTATTTCATTTTTTATCTATCTACCTACGTATATACTTATACACAACAGTTACAAAACATGTTTATAAATTGAGTCGCAAAGAATTGAAAGCTAGAAATAATTTCTCATGTTTAACATTCATCTGTAATGACATTAATTTGATTCATGGGAACTTTACCGTATGAGTATTTTGAAAGAGTTTAAGAACATCAATCATTGCTTGTCTTCAAACAAAGAAAACATCTCGAATTTAGAAATGGCATGAAGAAGTATGCTCGATGAAGTATCAAAAGTTAAACATATATGCTAAACATGTTCATAAGATTCTATCAAGGGAAAACACATTTGATATTCGAAAGATTGTGATTCAAAACTTTCTTAGATGATGTCGTTGATGATAGGAAACATAAATATGTTTAAAAATGTAATAAAGCCGCCTAATCAATAGGATAAATAACACTTAATTAAGCTTATAATGCATCTTCAAAAACTGGCAACAAATAATCTCTTATTCTGCATTTAACTGGAAACCTTTTAAAATCCTTTCCTTTTACCAATAAATTTAACTGATAGAAGTTCCTTAAACTATTGTTTTCAGTAAAAGTTTTTGAATAGTTCGTCTGAGAGTTTAAGAGTTTAAGATGAGTCATAATCAAGAAATTGTTTCCGTAAAATTCCTGCGAGTAATTAATCATCCTAATGGCTTTTAGGGAAATTCTAGGAGATAAATTCGATACATTTTCCCACAGTATTTAAATCATTATCATTTAATCATAAGTCCGTAATCAATGGATCCCTTCGTTGTATAGTGAGAATGTTGACAACTTTTACTCGGTCTTTAGACAAGCGTTTATGAACGCAAAATGGCCAAGTAAAAATGTTTTTCTAATTGAAAAAGGGACCATAAACCCTTTTTATTTAGACTTATGTATAAGCTTTCATATCTTTGAGGTCACAGTAGGAAAAAAATTCTTCAAAAGAATCGATAAGATCAAACAGTAAAAAATCACATTTCTAATTTTAATAACATATGAATTATTCATTTTCATAGATCATGCTCAATACATTTTATTCTACTGGACATATAATGGATTGAATGTTTCTTTTTTGACATGATGTACACATTGGAGAAATATTTCTTAGATATCGAAGATAAAAAACTTTCAAATATAGCTTTAAAAGGAACACATATGAGAAAAGTTTAATATTAAAGCTTTCTTACAACAAGTTTAAATTCAAGAAGAAAACCAAGTTTTCAAATATTTCAAAAATAAATTTATTATATTTAGCACTTTCATCCATTTAGTTTATTCTCGATAATGAAGACACATAATGCATTTAATTTTTATTCTTTCGCTTCTAGATACTTATTATTACTTAACATGTAAACAGTACTATGTTAAAGCTATCAAATGAATGTTCATGTACAGCACAGAAATAAGAGGCCTTACAAAACGTTAAAAAAAGATGAGAAAATTACAACAAAATAGTTCATTTCATAAGATTGAAAAGTGTAATTAAATCATTTCAAAAGATCGTGATGGTGGTGATTTAGATGAAAAGAAATTTGAAAGTTTATGAATGTAATGAGAAAGAAATGAAATATCTATCATCATTCTCTACACCAAAATAAATAATAAATCTTAAAATCACAGAGTAGATTATATGTGAATTGTGTATCAATGTTGTCTATTGGGACGAAAGATTTGATAGAAATTCATATTTAATCAAAAACAAGAAATTCTTGCATTACTTACAACATCATGACATAGATTATGGATTTAAATTGAAAAAGAAAACATATATCGAGTTATATTGAGCTGTTATCATGCATGAAATATGTTTAGAATGATACTGAAGAAATGTTTATAATTTTAAAGGTAAAAAAATCAATAAACATTGAAAGAAGAAAAGAAACAAATTGCATGAGAATTTTGAAACCTTTTTCCATGTGATTTTTCTTCTTTTTTACAGGAAGAGGGGCAAAAAAAAAAGGTAACAAAACAACGAAGAAAAATGAAGTAAGAATGTGTTTTATGACTCCGGCAGCTAATAAAATAAATTCACAGCTGAACCACATAAAGCCGATTAAATTTGAAAGTATTATAAAAGTAGTCAATCGCACATTCCTCGGATTGTTATGATAATGACGTAAGAGAGAAAAAATCATTTCGTTTTAATTTTTCAATTAAACCAGATGTGAATTTACTAAACTTTGAATATTCACTCATTTATCTTTATCTTTATAAGCAAAGTTTGCAAAATGAACATCTATCAAATTCAAATTGAAATTGAAACATTGAGTGAATAAATTCAATGTCAATTTGAAATGAAGCATGGAAAGTTTTTCTTCAGTTCTCTCATTTCTCAATAAAAATAAAGTATCAAAGTGATTCACTTCACGAGAATCTTGAAAATCAAATCTTCGAACCCTTATTTCAAATTCAATAAATTAATCAATAATTGTTGCTCTGTCTTCAAACCTTTTCAAAAATTTGTATACAGCAAGAAAAGAAGGAAAAAGAAAATTTTCCCAGTTGCGTAACGCAATCAAGTGACGAAAATTAAATCTTCTTTAAAATCGAAATCTACTTTGATTCATCGTTTTATGTTTTAAAGCTTTCACGTTTTTGAAAAGATAAAATCAAATTCTGAAGTGAAATGGAAACCGAACTTGGAGAAATAATTTTAACTTTGAAACTTTTCCTTTAGAAATCTCATGAAGTTCTTAACCCAGTGATTATTATTATTTAACTAGCTGGATTTATTATTGTAGCCATTTAAAATAATAAACTTTAACCTTTTATTCAAATATTTAAGTCTTCTTTCAAAACTTTCAAAATTAATGCTACCTAGTCAAACAAGAAGTGGGATAATATAAAATGTTATCAATGCCATGACCACTTAAACCGTTGATAAAATTTTCATTATTTTATCTCAGAAGGTTACATACACACCCACACAATTGAAATTCCTCAACAAAAATAATCACAATTATTCGTTTTTACAATTATTAAAGCTAGTGTGAAATGTTGATATGAAAGCTAATTTTTATCATGAAATCGATGATTATAATCTGAAAAATTCATATAGATATTTGTTGTGTTGATATTTGAACATCGTAAATATTATTTCAAAATGAAACAATGTTGCGAAATTATTTTTCCTTCTTCCACTAAGCTTCGTTCAGTTTAAATAACAAGTAAAACTTCTTCAGAAATTACATAAATGATAAATTGAATGTTTGGAATATCAATCAAGCGAAAAAAACAAGGAAACACTCAAACACGGATATAAATTTATGTAGGTTTATTTACATTAAAACTTTCATCCATACATTAAACTCATAATTTTGTAAAGTTAAAATAAACAATCGCGTAATAAATTTGTAATCTTATCTCTCTATAAATATCATGATTGTTCCATCTTAATTAGGTGATACCATATTTGGTATGAAACGTGTGAAAATATTTTGATAACAAACTTAAATGTACCTTAAACAAAAACAATTCAATGACTTTGCATTCTTCCTTCAGAGTTTTCAATTTGTCAGCAAATTTTGGCAAAATATGACACATTGGTTGAGAGTTACGAGAGATATTCATTGAAATTTGTCCATTACGCTCTTGAGATTGCGTTTCGATATCTTATCAAATAGGATTACAACTGATAAAACGAAAACACATCACGAAAGCAAACAGTGTAATTAATTTTTGTATAAAAGAGAACTGAAATGTGAGACACTCTTCAGTTGGTGAAGTCAAGTTGGTGTTTTTAAGTAAGAAAAAGTGATAGAATTTAATGTCAGCAGCTGATTGTAGATAACAAATTTAACATATATTGTGAAGAAAAGAAAAAAAAAATTGCAAGTTGTGAAATACGTGGAATGGTAGCCAAAAGACATATAAGAAAAGATTTTTACGTGCAAAGAAAACTTTCACTTCTTTAATTAATTTGAGGGTTAAAGAAGAGAAAAAACAAAGTTAAGAAGACAGACGTGTTACGTAATCTGACTAATTCTGTCATAAAACAACAATACACGTGTAAGCTTGGGATTTTAAGTGAAAAATGGCTCAAAGCTTTTGTCCGGATCCTTTTTGGGTAAGTTTATTAACCGTGAAAATGACTAAAGGACAATTTTTATGGATTTTCGTATTTTTATTTAAACAAAGACATTTTTTTGCAAATTATTTTCTCTTATCTATCGAGTGTTATACATGCTTAACTCAATTTTATGGTGGAAAGATAAAAATAATTTAAAAGAAAACAATAATTGATTAGACTTTATCGGCCAACAGTGAAAAATGATTTGAATTATCTCAAATGTCTCAGTTGCGATGTTTTAGATAAGAAATGTTTTTAAGACTCTAGAAGTGAAAATGTTTCAAAGAAAGTGAATGTTTTTGCAACAGAATTGGGATTATTTTTTGAGTGTGCTTGTATAAATAAGCAGACAATTAATCGATAAATTTAATTTGTTTAATCGATACAGAATGGCGACATATTATGGGTTCCAACAAATCCTGATTTCACAGAATGCTTTAAGAATTCTGCATTGATATGGGCACCTTGTGCTTTCGTAGCAATATTTGCAACTCTTGATGTGTATCGACGAAGTCAAAGCCGATACAGTGACATACCATGGAGCTTTCTAAATATATCAAAATCAATTGTTCTGTTCTCTCTGATATGCCTACAATTCATTGACTTGTCTATGATGTTATCTGTGAGATCTGAAGACGACATTGATATTTATCCTGTACAGATCGTGTCAGTTGGAATCAAAATATTAACATTCGTAGGTTTTTCTTCACATTTACATTCATTACAATCATTGAGATATTCATATTGCAGATACTCGTTGCATTCTTACAACTTATGCATAAAATCAAAGGTCATATGTCGTCTGGTTTGTTGTTTCTATTCTGGTTGATTCTTGTGGTTTTTGCAAGCGTACAACTACGATGGGAGATTCAGAATTATGACAGCGATGACCTCAATCGATGGAGAGAATTTCAATTTGTGAACTACATAACATATTTTACACTCATCACGATAATGTTGGTTTTGAATTGTTTTGCTGATAAGAAGCCAAGAAAAACGACCTACGTCAAGACAGAAAGTAACAATCCAAGTCCTGAGAAAAGTTCAAGTTTCTTGTCACAGATTTTCTTCCAATGGTTTGATAAGACAACCTGGGTCGGATGGAGACGACCGTTGACTGAAAAAGATATTTATGATATCAATCCCGATGATACATCGAGGGAACTTGTTCCACCATTCGACAAATATTTCCAACAAAGTGTTGAAAAGGGTCGACGGTAACGACAATCAGAATAATTTTCATTCATTTTTATTTGACATTTTTTTTTTGTTTTTCATGATTTTATTTGCTTTTATTTTATCGCATTCTTCAGAAAGCAAATGAAGCAACAACAGAAGTCGAAAAGTGGCGAAGCAAATATTCAAACATCAAAGGATACTAACGGGTCGATTCTGCCAGCAATGGTGAAATCTAATGGTGGACCTTTCTGGTTTGCGGGACTTTTACAAATTGCGATGAACTGTTTGACATTTGCATCTCCTTTGTTGTTGAATGAGCTTATTTTATACGTAAATCCTGCCCTTCCTCCTGGGCCTTTGTGGCAAGGACTTCTGATGACGTTCGCTCTCTTCATTGTGACATTCGTTCAATCAATCTTAAACGGTCAATATTTCCTGAAAACATTCCTCGTTGGCTTCCGAATCAGATCAAGTTTAATAAGTGCAATCTACAGAAAAGCTTTAAGAATATCAAATTCTGCTAAAAAAGACACAACAGTCGGTGAGGTTGTAAACTTAATGGCAGTCGATGCACAAAGGTTTTTCGAATTAGTTTCTTATCTTCACGTTCTTTGGTCGGGTCCAATGGTAATTGGTATTGCTATTTGGTTGATTTATAGAATATTAGGCGTTGCAGTTTTTGCTGGATTAGCTGTCATGGTATAAATTATGAAGCATTTAATTTTTAATCGATTTATTCACTTTTCTTATTATTCTTCTCAGATTCTTATGATTCCACTCTCAGGGTTCATAGCGGCAAAGTTACGTGATCTTCAAATCGTCCAAATGAAAGCAAAAGATGAACGTGTGAAATCAATGAATGAAATTCTAAATGGCATGAAAGTATTAAAGCTTTATGCATGGGAGCCGAGCTTTGAAAAGCTTATTCTTGGAACAAGAGAGAACGAAATGGTTGTGTTGAAGAAAGCCGCACTTTACAATGCTGGAACATATTTCGTTTGGAGTTTGGCGCCATTCCTTGTATCATTGGCATCTTTCATCACATTTGTGATGATGGGTGGTGTACTTTCACCAAACGTCGCTTTTGTTGCCATCTCTTTGTTCAACATTCTACGATTTCCCATGGCAATGTGTAAGAAAAATATCTTTTAAATTAATTAAAATACATTTATTTTTTTCTTCTTTTTTTTTTATTGTTTTCAGTTCCCATGATGATTGCTTTTATAATGCAAGCGTGGGTGTCAGTGAAACGTATCAATAAATTTTTGAATTCTGAAGAAATTGATCCAAATAATGTGACAAAGAATAAAAGTGATTATGCTTTGAATGTTGACAATGGGTCATTCACGTGGGGTGGTGAATCGACGACATTGAAAAATATAAATATGAAGGTTAAGAAAGGAAACCTCACCGCAATCGTTGGATCTGTCGGATGTGGAAAGACAAGTTTAGTATCCGCTCTTTTAGGTGAAATGGAAAAGTTAAATGGTAATATCAACGTTGATGGCAGAACTGCTTACGTTCCACAACAAGCATGGATACAAAACTCGACACTTCGAGACAATATCTTGTTTGGTCGGCCTTACGATAAAAATTTCTATGATAAAGTTGTTGAAGCTTGTGCTTTAGTACCCGACCTTGCGATGTTACCTGCTGGAGATCAGACAGAAATTGGTGAAAAAGGCATAAACCTATCTGGAGGACAAAAACAAAGAGTCGCACTTGCTCGTGCCGTCTATAGTGAGGCTGATATTTATCTTTTAGACGATCCATTGTCAGCTGTTGATTCACATGTAGGAAAACATATTTTTGACAATGTTTTCGGTGTGAATGGACTTTTGAAGGATAAATCGCGACTTCTTGTGACACATGCTGTCGTATTTTTACCAAGAGTCGACGAGATTTATGTCATGGTTAATGGAGAAATCACTGAGAGCGGATCATACAAGTAAAAACGACAGCTTTCACTCATAAATCGCACCATCCATAATCGTTTACTTTATTCTTTCCAGATATTTGCTTTCACAAAAAGGTGCTTTCTCTGAGTTCCTAACGCAACACTTACAAGAGCTTGAAGATGATGAAGGTAACATATAAAATTTAATTGATGCTATAAATTCGATTATACATTGAAAATTACTTTTTTAGAACTTATGGAAATTCAAAATTCAATACAAGACAAAGATATGAAGCTCATACTTGAACGTTCTATATCAACTCTTTCAAGTGAAAAATCGTAAGTGAATTTTTGTTTTCATCTTAAATAATTAAATTCATTACTGTAAATAATCTTTGAACTTTCTAGCTCAGTGAATGGTTCGGTGAGACGAAGAAAGAGTGGCAGGCGAGCATCGGAAAAGAGTGAAAAAGAAACAATTCCACCGTCAAATGATAAGTCAAAATTAATTGACAGTGAAGAAGCAGCGACTGGAAGTGTTGGTGCTGGTGTTTACGTTCGTTATTTTAAAAGCATTGGCCTTGTGCTTGGAATTGGTGCAATACTTTCAAATGCGGCAAATCAAGCTGCTGCTGTTTATTCGGGAATTTGGTTAACACATTGGTCAAGCGACGTTCGAGCTTCGGACCCAGATGACCCAACATGGAGAAATATTTATATGGGTGGTTATGGTGGCTTAGGCGTTGCTCAAGGTATGTTATTGAAGTTGAATAAAAATTTTTTATTTGGATATTTAAAAAACTTCAAATTCAGCTGTTGGATTGCTTGCAACTTCTGTCATTTTTGCGATTGGATGTCTTCGTGCAGCTCGAGATTTGCACAATAAATTGCTTCATAACACGCTTCGATTACCCATGTCATTCTTTGACACAACACCATTGGGACGAATTCTAAACAGATTCTCAAAGGATGTTGATGTCATCGACACGGTTCTACCGATGTCAATGCGATTCTGGATTATGATGTTTTTTAATTGTATTGCTGTGTTGATTGTGATTTCATATTCGACGCCCTTGTTCATGACTGTGATTATTCCATTAGGATTTGTCTATTATTTCATTCAGAAATTCTATGTGGCCACTTCAAGACAACTCAAACGAATTGAGTCAGTGACACGGTCTCCAATTTACACTCACTTCAGTGAAACGATTACGGGTCAGTCAACAATTCGAGCTTATGAAGTAGGCGAGAGGTAAAGTTAAAGAAAAGAATCACAAAACCTTTTTCGTTCATCATATTCTAATTTTCTTTTCAAAAAAAGGTTTACATTGGAATCGGAGAGTCGTGTTGACTACAATCAAAAGATGTCATATCCGAGTATTGTTGCAAATCGTTGGCTAGCTGTGCGTCTTGAAATTGTCGGATCTGTGGTTGTTCTTTTCGCATGTTTATTTGCTGTTCTTGCTCGAGATACTATAAACCCTGCAATGGTGGGATTGTCTATCAGTTATGCACTTCAAATCTCACAAGTGCTTAGTTTTCTCGTACGAATGACCGCTGAAGTTGAAACAAACATTGTAGCGATTGAGAGAGGTTTGTGTTTATTTAGTTTTGCAATTAGATAGCTTAAAGATTTTTCCTAATTATTTTTTCTTTGTATTCTTCTTTCTTGTTTAGTTGACGAGTATTCGAATCGTGAACAAGAAGCTCCTTGGAAAACTGTTGAAATGGTAAGTGACATCATTTCAAGAAAGTTTTTCTTTTCTTTCTTCTGTTGACTAAAAACAAACATCAATGAAATTTTAATTTCTTGTTTTTAATTAGGACCCAACATGGCCTCAAAAGGGTATTGTTATATTCAAAAACTTTCAAGTTCGTTATCGAGAAGGACTAGAGCTTGTTCTTAAGGGTATCGATTTTTCTGTGAAGAGTCAGGAGAAAATTGGCATTGTTGGAAGAACAGGGGCTGGAAAATCAAGTTTAACTCTCGCACTCTTCAGAATTATTGAAGCAGCTGAGGGAAAAATCATCATTGACGATATCAATATTGCTGAAATTGGATTGCATTCATTGCGATCTCGATTAACAATTATTCCACAAGATCCCGTTTTATTCAGTGGAAATCTTAGAATGAATGTTGATCCATTCAATGTGTACTCAGATGATGCCATATGGACCGCACTCGAACAATCTCATTTGAAGCTTTTCGTTAAAGGCTTATCTGATGGTCTCGACTATAAAATATCTGAAGGAGGTGAAAATCTGTCAGTAGGCCAACGTCAACTCGTGTGTCTTGCTCGAGCGCTACTTCGTAAAACTAAAGTTCTTATTCTTGATGAAGCGACAGCCGCTATCGATCTTGAAACTGACGAATTAATTCAGGTAAACGAATTACGCTTTCAAATGTATTCATGATAAAATTCTTTCTTTTTTTTCTATAGAAAACCATTCGAACTCAATTCACTGATTGTACAATTCTGACAATTGCACATCGATTGAATACCATCATGGATTCGGATCGCGTGATTGTTTTGGATCAAGGAAAAATTGCAGAATACGATTCACCGAAGAATCTTCTTGAAAATAAAGATTCCATTTTCTACGGCATGGCAAAGAATGCTGGATTAGTTCAAAATCCAAATGAGATGACAATTGAAGAAGCTATTGATGAAGCTTTCAACTATGATGATGAAGACACTAAGTTATAAAAATTTCTTTTGTTCAAACTTTAAATCTATTAATAACGAAATATATAATTTGATTGGGGATAATGACATGAATGTGATATTTATAAACTCATAGAAAATTACAAGATGAATTAAGTTATTGTCTGGCATAAACATATATCACACATCTACCTAGAACATAAAATAAAAGCTTTTTAAATTTAGTATAATTTGTGAGAACCTTGCAACAGTTTCAGTTTAGATTTGTAAGGTTTTAAGCAGGGGTTCAAAATTTTCTCTACTTTGTTTTCTAAAAAATGCGCAATAACGATTTCTTGTCTTTTCATTTCATTTCTTCACAAACACCTCGTCTGTGTTATCTTTCAACACTTGAGCAACTTCATACAAACATTTTCTCATAGGGAAACCCCTGTAAGCACGCACACATCTTTTCGTTTCGTCTTCCGAAGACTCTACGAAATACGATACATGTACACGTGCAAACAAATTTTCGCCTCTATTGAAAAGCAAAACAAAACTTGCAAAAGTGAAGAAAATTCCTTCAGTAAGAATTGAGTCGTAGCGAAAGCAAGAAGTCTCGAGAATTTTTTTCTGTTATCAACAATGTGTAATATCTACAATAAAAAATAAGGAGAAAATATTTTTCTAAGTGATTTCTTTGACCGCAAAGTTTTGACTCCAATTTAAAGTCAAACAAAGTTGTGTTAAACAGTAATTTATCAATAAAAATAATTTAAATTGAACCAAAAAATATTATAAAATTGTACATAAGGAAGGTTCAAAGTGGTTCAGTGCACGACAAAAAAAAAAGAAAAAATAATGATTTACAAGTAAACTTTTATCAGTGTGAAAATACAGAAAAAAAGATAAAAACATTGTTTATAAGTGTTAATTAAAACCGCAATTTTTTTCACATAAGAAACTAAATATGTAAGTTCTGATGAAAAACGTCCTCATCAATCGTTATTAGTTACGTTGCTGTTACGCCACACACGCGATCGCATTCACTCAAGGAAATTTATGTCGTTAATGAAACATATGTTTGGGAATTCCTCGTTCAAATATCAACATCAAAATATTATACGATAAGAAATGAAATTACCATCGAACTTGAAACCGTTTTTTTACTCGTCGATGAATTATAGATATTCAAATAATTGATTCGATGTATGCAAAATAATCGATATTTTGGGTATTATTCAAAGTGAATAACAAAGGAAAAAATACAAAAAAAACTTATGTAAACGACTGGTAAATAAAGTCACAAAAAAATGACATACAAGAACGCGATAGAAATAAAAAGAGAATATACCAGCAGACATTTCCATTTATTAAGCAACCACTACAGAATGAGTTCAAGCTTGGTAGTGGAATACATGATTAAAAAATGATGATACATGAAAATTAAAGCACCCGTGAAAAGTCCTTTTCATTTCTACCTTCCTAGATTCACGTGTGAGAATGATAATGAATTTTATATCTGGTGGAAATATTTTTTTAATAATGAACATTTTTTCCGCTTCAAAGCGAAGAGTGGTGGAATGAAGAAACTTACAAAAGTGGCTGCTTTCCGCTAAACATTTGACTTTATACTGATACCGCATTCTCTTGGGGGAGTACAAATTAATCTTGTATCCGATAACATCGATAATCAATATCGAATGGAACTTAATGCTCAAGGAAAATTTCGTTGGCTTCAAGTTTCAATCGGAAATCGGGAAAAAAGGAAAGAAATATTTCTTTCATGAGACCTTAATTGATGACAGTTGAACTTCTGTTAAGTGGAAATGTATTTAAAAAAGATGGAAGTTTAGTATTAGTAGCAAGTTGAATATGCTTAACAGTAATGAATCTTTATATGCGAGTTCTTAGAAGTTTTGTGGAAAAATATTCTTTCCATATGGCAACACAATTAATACTGATTATCAAATGGCACAAGCACGCAATTTAGATATTCACATTTCTTAAACTTATGGTACATCATCATCAAATACTTTCAAATAAATAATACACTTAAATGATTTTGAAGAATATTTGCTTAGACATTTTCAATCATATGAGCGCGGCGCGGAAAGCTCACGAAACTCTTCATGGAATATTTTATTTAACTTCTTTTTTTTAGTTGTACATGTGTGAAAATTTCAATGGAAAATGGAATAAAGCTAAATATGTACATAATGTAAACTTTTCTTATACATATATACGAGCACATAGCGACTTTTTTTCATCTTCATGTAATACATATCAATGTTGTTTATTTTCGTGTACATGGCCGTTTCCATAGAAATTCATTATTCGTGTAAATGTATGCAGCAAACGGACCTACATAGAACGGAATATCAAACTTTGAGTACTGAACACATTTTATTTATTATTTTTATTGTTATTTTCATCATCATTACTATTATTATATTGCTACTCGAAATAATAACATGATAAACATTATTTGCTGTCTCTCAATTTGAACATTTATTTCTCGTCTATCAGTTTATGTTGCTGGAAAGTTTATCAAAAAAAACCAAATAGAAAAAGCAGAGCACATGATTATATTTTGATACGCGAAAAAACGCGCGCGCTCTCGATTTGAAGCTATTTCGTGAAAAGGAATTAAACTGTGGAAAAAAATTCTTTTTTGTGTGCTTTGTGACCTAAAAAGTATTTACATTCTTCTACCGCTTTTTTGTGCATAAATTTGTCAGTAAAATAATCGACGTCTACGATTCAGTGAATAGAAATGAAAATGAAAAGAAAATTTACGTCAAGCTGAGAAGAAATTAAAGTTTGCAATTAAAACAGCACTCGTTCGTGACATTCGTAAAGGGCATAAATGTTTTGTTATTAAAAAATAACTTGCGCAAACGTTTGCATAACTTGTTGCCAACATGAATATCCGTAGACCACGTAAGTTTTTGGGACAAACGTTAAATGAATTATCAATTACCACTAAAGTTGATTAAATGGTCACGATAATTTTTTTTTTCTATTTTAAGAAGTCAACAAAGTGTCAGAATAAATAAGAAACAAATTTCAAGAAGTCAAACATTGTCAGCGTTTGTTGAACTTCGGAGGCTTCTTTGGCTACATTTTGACTTGTTTCGTTTCACAATAAATTTTTTGATTCACATATAAATGACACAATCATAGATGTCAATTTAAAGTGCAGTATCTCTTCAAGTTCACTTTACCGTTGCTCTTTTATTTAATTAATTTACACTTGTCGCACATATGATTTTGTATTTTTTGTTCATTTCAAACGCAAGATTAACAAAATGTTCCAACATTTCATGACGATCGCTTATTTTTATTAGTACGTATTTATTTTGTTTATTTATCGTCACGAATCTGTTTTAACTATGTGCATATGTAAATAAACTTAACATTTCGTCGTAAGCCGGTAACAATGACCTATGGAATTAATTTTTATGGCTTGAAGCAAAATGCACATAGTTTCGATGACAATTGCCACCTCACAATTGAAAAAAATACTTTTTTTATTAAACTGTGAAAAGTTTTGCCAAAATTTTAAACTAAGTTGTGATTTTGATTGAATTTAAATCTTCATTAAATAATTATTCACATTACTTTAATGAATGTTGGTCATTTGATGATTAACTGCTGATATTTTACACAACAAATGATGATTAACAGGATGTGATAAAAGAGAGTCAAAATGTTGCCCACCAAATTCAAGTCAATGTTTCAAATAATTTCAGACTTTTTCGGAATTTCAGATAATTGAAAAAGTTTCATTTCAGTTTTCTGCTACGGTTAAACTTTGTCAAAATAAAAAAAAACTGTTTAACTTGTGCTACATTTTAGTTTATTTAATCTGTTTTTTTACTTTTTTCCCTTTGTATCACTTGTCTGACTTTATTTAATATGAAATAAGTATTAAAAAAATTTAAAGAGTTAAATGAGCTAAGTGCAAATTGCGATGACATGTTTTGATTGATAAGGAATTTTTTACTTTATTTTGATATATAAGTTAGCTTGATAACAGGAGTAATAAAAAGCCATTCTTTGGCATTGTAAAACGACAACTTAAAGTGTCTTTTATGATAAGATTTCTTTTTATATTTCTGTTCACTTCTCTCATGATATTTGGCGTTATCTTTTAACGAGGGAATTCTTCAAAACAACAATTAGTCGAAAAGCGACAATGACGAAACCTGCCAACTTGACAAACATTTATGATTTTATGATAAATTAAATTACGTTGTAAGATATAATTATTTAGTTTATCATCCGTGAATTGCAATTTAGTAAGTCTTATTATACCGACCTATTTAGAGAGAAGCAGGTAAAGTTACAGTAATCATTTAGCTGCATTTTTGTGATTAGAGCGACTGAACAAGCGCACGTTGCTATTACCAGACCACAAAAATTTGCGCTCTAATAACGATTTGTAGATGTCTTCACATAATTGGCAGTTTACTTACTCCAATTCAGTTCTATAATAGCTTAGAATACGAGTATAAATAACAAAAAATATGTCACCAAGAAGAGTCACAGCATGATGTTACACTTTACACACAAAAAAAAACAAAACAATAGAAGACTATCGAATGACATCGTTTGCTTTCAATTCATCAATACCATTAGCCAAATATTATTTCTTTTGTTGTTTTCTCTTGTCTGTATTGAAGCGTGCATATCGATTACTAAAGAAATGAAATTTAATATCAGACGAATGAAGCTATTGTCGGTTTAGTTAAAAATAATTCATTGAGCGATATTTGTATCGATCGATTTGAAAGAAATTAAAGAAAATATAAACGAAGCCTTTCCAGTGTTGTGCAATATTTAGTTGAAGAAGACTTGCACGCAACATGAATACAATAAACGGATATGCAATGAAGAAAACAGAAGTCTAGAAATTAAAAACTTATGGTCCATTGAAAAACCTCTTCAATGAAGCATAACTAAGTGACGTTGATTGACTTCTCTGTTCATACTTAGCAAGAAGTCTGAACACATTTCAAAGCACGTGATATTACGAAATCAGAAAAAAAATATATTTGATAGAAAATTTTTATTTTCAACATTGGAAATATTTTCATCGCGATTGTATATGATTGCGAAAGTTTTAACAACTAAAAGCTTCTAGAACTCCAACTGTGAAGTACAACATGACGAATGGAAGAATAATGTCAAACACAGTTGAAACAACTCACCATGATTCACAAACCATTTAAAAATATTTGCCTTTTTTCAATGACATTATGCGCTTGCGGAATAAATATTGTGCTTGCTAGATTAAATAATTAAGGCAAGTTCCGTCGATAAATGTGCTGCTAATAAGTCACCCACAATTGTGAAATCTGCAAACCTTCATTTAATATTCCGGGTGTTCACAGGTTCTCGAAAAGCACTTTCAAATTCATGCCATTTCGAGTGATGACAAGAATAATAATAAAAAAAAACACCTAAAAAGCCCCAATTTAGCAAAATGAAATTTATTTTCCAATTTATGAGATTAACATGAATGCAAAGCATATAAATCACTGAATGCGAACAATGAATGTTTATCAGTCAACATGTGGAAAGAAAGAAAGAAAAAAACTGTTCAGTGATAACTTTCATTTTATTTGTCATGAATAAAAGTTTATTAGTTTATCACTTAGTTTATTATTTATCTGCTTCTTCTATTCAATTTGTCTACGCTTTCTTGTTCTTAAACTTAGATATAACTTAACCTACCACACTGAACTAATGTGCGTCATGACAAAAGATGAATAATGCATTGTCAGATAATTTTATGTTCAGACTGGAGAGACGTCAGAAAAGATATTTACATAAAAGTGTAAGAATCGTCTCGTAAAATAAATAGAAAGTCAAAGAGCAAAAGAAAATTTCTTTTCATCATAAGCAAGAATAAGACCTCAGCGACTTCGTTTATAAACATTAATTATATAATCAAAGCCGAAGCACAACAAGCCATTGCCAGTCATTCAATTAAATAGCAATTTTCATTAAATCACTCAACATAAATAGGAAAATGCTACTTCATGACTAAAATCGTCTATGTATGACTTTTTTTATGGGGAACGCAATTAAATATACGACCAGCAGGTCACAAAACAATAAAGTGGCCCAGAGAGTTTATATCGGAAATTTGAATTTCCGAAGAACGACAAATACGAGCAAACAACTTACAATGTTTTTTTAAACGATTTTCCCTTTTCTTGCTTTCCTACATTTATTTTTTAAATAAGCCGGCAGAATTAATGCTTCTACATTTTATTTTGATTATTTGTTTACAGAACACGAACGGAGCCGTAATAAGTTTATCAGTCATCGCGTGAAAATATTATCATCACTTTCTTTCCGCCCCTTATAATTTTTGGAATAAATTTAATGCCGCTGGATTTTTCTTTTTCATGGCTGTTGATTTTGAATTATCGAATAAATCCTTAAAATTTTTAAAGTCAATCAAGACCTGTTTATTTTGTAATCTTTTGATTTAAGCTTGCTTCTTCATTTGATCATTCATTGGCATCAAGTCAATGACAATGAAATTGAATAAAAGGTTTCGCAAATTACAATCAAAGTTAGTTAAGCTCAGGGTTGAAAGGGCCGACTTTGTTTGGGATCAGAGATTTCAGTAGCTTCTCTACATAATCATCGTTGATTGTACATAAATACTTAGCGTATAAAACTATCAATTAGCCACAGCTAATAAGCGGTCATTGCTGTGTTTATTTTCTGCTTTTTCATTCTACTCTGTCGCTTTGATTGTAAATAAATTGTGATGCTTACGTGTGTGTTTATTGAACTTGACCTTGAGAAGACGCAACAGATTTTATTTTATTCGTAATTTGTTGAAAGCGAGTATGAAATAATAAAAACAATAAGAGAACAGAAATTATTTTAAACACGCAATCGTTTTAGATTAGCTAATGTTAGATAGCTTATTGCTTTTATTATCAAACACTTCTACTCATGTTTGGGGAACTGTAATTATTATTTTAACAAGAATGTTTTTTTTTTATTTCACCTTCGTCGGTGAAAATCTAGCATTGAAGTTCAGCTAATGTTTTTTTTTTATTGTCAACCGCTATCTGTTCACTTTATCAATTCAACCAACAAAAACACACGAGCTTCCACAATTGTAATTGCGACATTTTTCATGAAAAAAAAGTTTAAAATTAATTTATAAATTTCTGTCTATATTGTTACGACACGACAGTCGAGTCAGCGTTTTTCATTTTTGCGCAGCACGCTCCTAATGACATGAAAATGCCAACTATGTGCTCCATTTTGGTTGTGCTTATTATCACCGATCATTTTTGTACATATTTTATGAGCTTCGACAATTGCTGGTTGATTTTAACCCATATTTCCACATCGCATATATGCATGACAAAGCCCACATCTAAATAAAATTATATTTGCGATGAAAACAAAAGCGAAAATCAATAAGAAAAAAAGAGAAATTAACAATTCACTGTCGATTTCATTACTTCTTATTTCAAGTTCAACAACAGACAAATAGCAATTATTTAAATTGAACTCACAAATGGTCAATCAATTAGCTAACTTTTTCAATTAATTTAATTGTTCCTTATCGTGAAATTCACATCACTCAAACCAATACGTACCATGAAACTGAGTTTCTCAAACAATTGCTTTAAGGAGCGCTTGGAATAATGTTTCAACTGTGACGAGAATCAAAAATTGTCTACACCGAAATATTTTTTCTATGATCAATGTTTGAAAGTAATTAAAATATTATTTATTCATAAACAATAAAACTTTCTGTTTATGAAGTGAACAGTACTCTAGCAACGAAACATGATTACTTAGATATGTACTTACTTACCTGCTACCATCAATCAAGTGTAGAACGTTTTCAGCTAAAACTTCAAAGCTTGCAAAAGCAGTCAGCGCACATTCATGACATGTGATGGTTGAAGCTTGATCGAAGTTGAAGGCAAATAACTCTGCGTGATTAAAAACTCTATTCGTTTATTAGGGCGCTTCAATGAATGTCTGTTGAAAAGTGTCGATGTTAGCTGATTACGAAGTAGTAATCTACATTACTCTAACATTTCATTATGGACGATGTTGCCATTAAAATACGTTCTCAATGCCATTTAACTAAACGAAGCGTTTGTTAAACATGGAGCGTCTTAGAGTCAGGGAAAAACCTCCGAAAAAAATGTGTTCGAAATCATCACGAAATTTATTTTATAAAAACAGCACCTGCGATCTAAATATTTGAAGCGGAAAATGTTTCCACATATTTATTCCCAGTTTATTTCATACTAAAGGATAGAATTAAAATTAAATATTTACACTCAAAATTGTCAGATTTTTATTTTATATTTCAGTAAAGATAATCTCGTACATGCTTTAATGATAATGATAAATCATTTGCTATCATGCGACATTAATAATTCACATATTCGAGCTTGAACAGTCCAGGAAATATTTCACTTTTGACCACATCACCGCAAACACATTTTGAAGGTCAAGATACATATTCATGATATTTTTTTTGAAAATCATAGACCGCAGCAGTTCAAACGGCATAACTTATAGACTTATCTTGGATTTTCCCATAAAATATTTCATCATTTTATGTTAGCCTCATTATTATTTCTAACTTTCAGTTCATTTGTGGGTGGTAGAAGTAAATAGGCCACAGGCATGCGTAAGATATTTATTGTAATAATTATGCTATGCAATTCCTAGAAGCAAACTTTTTTCACCTTTTACTACATTTAAAAGCGCATGTTCTTACATTGCCTTATGAATTTTTTATCACGTGGAAAATAAAAGCACATTTCTCGTTATTTTCTATATTTCGTAGTTAACGAGTTTATGAATGAAGGAAGCTTTTTTATGTCTTTACTGAATGCGTGATTCATTGAAAACGAAACACTTTTCATTTCTAGTTTTACAAGAGAACAGACACGACGCAGAAAAAACATAAAATATAAAAATGGGTAAAAAATTTACACTCGTTGATGGATTTTTATCCGGATTATTAACTTTTATGGTAGCATTTTCTTCGTCATATTCAGGATATTCAATGTGTCGTAATTTTTATAGCTGCCTCATTATTTTTATTAAGAGCGAAGAGTATAAATTTTAATCAGAATCAATAAATGGAAGCATCGGCTTCTTCAGTAGCTTCTAAAGTGATTTTAATAAATGATTGGATTTTAATTGATTGTAACGAGATTTGTGTTAATTCCCACGTGTGATGATCAGCATAAATTTGTCATTTATAACAGACGTTTGCTAATAAAGTAAACGCATTCTAAGAATGAAATGTTTCAACCTTTTCGTTGTCTACTTGTATATGTACAAAAAGAACTATTTTTAACTTACAAACAACTTGAAGGTCATACAGTGACGTATTTTTTCTTTTCTTCTCTTTCCAGATATTTATCGATGTTTATTTAACCACGTTGAATTAGTCTCGAAGTCATGGATAACAATGGACTCTATACAGACTTAGATAGCTTCACCAATATCACTTGTGGTACAACAAATAATAGTTTCAACGACACTTGTGCGCCATTACCGCCGCTAAACAACTTCAAATATCACCAAACGAATTTATCGACAAATATTTATCAGCAACCAGTACACACGATTCATGATCAACAACAACAACAACAGCAGCAGCAGCAACATCATTCTACAAAATCATCATCAACATTACCCCAAACACAAATAAATATCAATAATTGTAACAATAATATTTTTTTTCCACATGATGATGGAATATTTGATGCAACAGCAACATCAACAACGTCAACATCAGCCGCGACATGTTCGTCAAAAACTATTCCTAACAACGGGAATGTTAACAGTCAAAAAAATAATTTTATTGGATATGTTCGAAAGGAGTCGAGCACAAGCGGTGGTGGTGGGGATAATATCACATATAACATCAACAACATCAACACAAATATTGTCAACAACATAAACAATCCAACGAATTTAGTTAACGGTAGCGACATATTCGGTGGCAATCAATATCATCATCAGATAAACAAGAACGGTGAAACAATTATAAATTTTACGAATAATAATCTCAATAACGTTGGAAGCAGTATGCCAACGGACACTGTCTCGTCAACATCACAGAACTTTTACGGCTATCAAACAAATAGTAGTCAGGGACAGCAAACAGTTTACGAAACATCAGTTCAGTCTCAATCGCAAAGTAATACATTTCAAGACACTAATTTAAGTGCACCAAAGAGTAGCATGAGCACAACAGGTGCCGGACTCTACCACAATCATCATCATAGTCAAAATAATTTGAATCAAACAATGACTAATGGAAATTATATGCAGAGTAGTGCGAGTGGAATTTTAAGTGAACATGGAAATGTTTCAATGGATCCATTTTATGAGTACTCCGATCCATTACAATCGACGAAAATCATCACAAACTTTGAGACAAAGAATCCTTTAAAATATCCTTCAAGCAATAGACCATCAGCTTCTTATTATAAAAATGATTCGGATTATCACCATCCACCGCAGCAAGTCACTCATTTTACGCCGCATAATTATTCTGGGATTTATCAAAACACTCAACACCCAATTCCTAAGATTTCACCAGCGCATAACTACGAACCTTATCCTCGAAGTTCTCGAAATTCTGTTCCACATTATCCTTCTCAACATTATCCGGCACCAGCAATGGATGACCATAATGCAAGTAGATTAAATTATAATCGAGCTCCAGTTTCTGCTTACCATCAACACTCAATTCCTCAACCACCGAAATCTTATACAAATTTTTATAGCAACGGTTACCCAGCAATGCCTTATTCAGCTTATCCTCAAATGTCGCCTGGTCCGCCTTATATGAATCCTTTGATTCGTAATGAAAATTGTTCAAAACCAACGCCAAACTACTCGAAAACCGGCGCAGTAGCTTTATCACCTGTTGAACATGGCAGTTTCTCATTGCCTCATACTTCAAATTTTGTGACTTCAAAAAAAGATTTTTATGCTGAAAATTCTTATTATCCGACACCGCATGGCTATTATGACGAATCATCAGTAAGTACAATGAATTCAAGTTGCTCAAAAAAGCCGAGTAGTCGACAGAAAGTGAATGCTGATGTTTATAATCCCAATGGTTCTGCGACACTTTATCCTGAGCATCATGCATTACCACATCATCCACAAAATGGAAATATCATTCGACATGGGAACGTTAATTATCAACCAATACCAAAACATTACAGTGCAAACAACACATATGCAATGCCATCAAACTCATACGATGCTTATCACAATATAAATTATCACTACAAGAATGGAGATCTTCCTAAAATGCAAACAAAGATGAATCCGGCTTTAAGTTCAAAACAATTTAAGAATTATGGTCATTTTGAGCCTTTTCCTCATCCACACGTACCTTATGGCCATCCACAATATCAAACGATGCATGCAAAACGTCCCGAGAAACTTAAAATTTCACTTGATTTAGAAGAACAAATCAACAGCTCAAAAATTCCTAAGATACGTGACGTTCCACATCCATCGTATTTTGATCCACATGATCCGCATCATTATTATCAATATCATCATCACATACCACCGCGTAACACAATTAACGAGAACGATCCGAAAAATTCTATTGCAAACATCAATATTAGTTTGCGAGATTTTCTCTCGACATGGAATGAAATTGACGACGATGAAGAGTCGGGGGAGAAACGAATGACAACGCATGGTCATGTTGATGATCTTAGTGAACATGTAGAGAGAACAATTATGCGTGAATATAATCCAATGTTTGTACAAAAGGCATCAGATAGTCTGGTGAACGCAGATGTGCCTGCAATAACTACACAAAAAATGACCGAGCTTGAAAGTGGAATGATTAGTGAAGGTACTGAAAAGCTTTATGTTCTTGAGTCAATCGACGTTCCATTATCGGAACTAAACAAGTACAAACACTTAAGTGTTATCAACAAATTACCGGAAAATGTTGTGATTAGCGATAAAGAACTTTATGCTGATGTCGACAATTCAATGAAGTTCATCGAGGAAATTGATTTAACTCGCGGAGAAAAGCTTTATAAAAGTGAATTTGAGTTGGAATTTGAGGCGTGTCAAGAAAGAAAGATCAGTAAACCAGTTGATAAGTCGGAAGTCGTTAAAACAGGAAACAATTTGCAGTCGGAGGTTGATGAGAAAAAAAATGAAGTTGCTGAAGAAGTTGAAGTAGTTGAAAAAGGTAAACATGAAACTGCAATAGCTTCGCCCACAAAGAAGCGAGTAATGAAAGTTAAATCACCTAAGATGAAAGACATAGAAAAAAGATTACCAAAAATTAAGCAAAGAATTTTAAAAATAAAAAAGGAAAAAATATTCAGATCCACAATTCCACAAATCCAAAAAAATCCACAAAAAGTTCGAATAACAAAAAGAGTCAAAAAGTATTCGTTGAATCAACGCAACAATTCAGTGAAGACTTTACAATCGACTTGTGTTGACTTTTTAAACACAAGCAGTTATCGAAACTATGCAAGAGAGCAATTGAAGATTATGAACAAACATTCAAAAATGAGAATCTTGAAAGATTTCAAAAAAAAATTCAACTTTGAAAGCACCAAGAAGCAAAGTCCATTGATTAATCAAAAATTTAATCATTCAGTGCGTATTAATTCGTTAAAGGAGATTTGTGGAGAATATTTTAAGGATAAGTCAAAAAATTTAGAACTTGATTCAGATGATGAAAATGAAGATTTAAAAAGTGATTTCAATGCTGTGTCAAATTATGAATTTCCCACATTAAAGAACATGTGCAAAAGTCTTTTGAAGGAAATGGACATAAACATTGTTGAAAACGACGAATATGTTTACACTCTATCGAGTTTGAAAGAGCTTTGTGAGGCGGTTATTTATAACAATCGTCAATATTTTGTCATCGAAGAAGTCTCACATGTTCCGAAGCTTCAAGATTTGTGTAAAAGTGTCTTAAGTGAAACGAACATCTTCATAAACATTGACGAAGAAAACAGTGGAATTTTCACAATAAACAACGATTCCGAAGTCGTACAAAATGATTCAATCATTGACGTCGCTGACGATGAACCGATTTTTATCGTCGAAGAAAATTCTGGAAACGTCGGCGAACTTTTCGACTCAGAAAATCTCAATTCGTTCGAGAAATCAGAAATTTTACGAAAAATTCAGCATGTTGCAAATATTGACGATGATGATGAAATCATTCGAGCGATTGGTGCACTTCATCACGATAACGATGTCGAATCAATTATTAACAATAATAATTGCAACGTGTCCAATAGGAATATTGGGTGTGCTAACGAGGTTTTCTTTGGAACGAATGAATTAAGCACAGAAAACCAGAATGGCCCTGAAATGTCCTTCATTTCTTACATGGAAGATGATTTGATCCATTCCGTGCAGCATGAGGAAATCGTATCAAGGTCGGGAAGCTCAAAAAACGACATGCATAAACACAAAACCGTCGAGATTCTTCGTCATAAGTATTTAAATCGTTCTGATAGGAGACAAGCTTCAAAGACTATCAATGGAATATTAAAGAAATCTTTAAACTTTCAGCGCCTTTTTCGATTTCGCAACGCAAAATGTCGACAAATTATTTCTTTGAAGACGCAGACGATTGGTGGAATAGTTAATTATAAGAAAGAATTTATTGTCAATGAAATTCTCAGTGGCGAGAAGAAAATACATTCGATACCAACAAGTTATCAGCGTGCTTTTGAATCTCATAACAATGCCAAAGATGAAACTGCTCAATCGCAACAAAAATCAGTTGACCGTGAACTAACGACAATAATCAATGACTCGCTGCCATCTGATGATAGCCTCGGCCATCATGCGGAACGTAAACTACCTAAATTGCCTGTCGTCTTTCCGTCAATTAACGAGTATAAAATAGACAGGAAGAGCAGTAACCGGTGCGATGTCAAGGACATTTTTGACCAAAAGAAGAATAAACTAAATTTTGAAGAAAGCTTGTTGAGTATCGACAAGATTTATGGAAAATCAAATGGAGAGAATAAAAAAGATTGTTCGCAAAGACATTACGAGCGACATCATAAGAAGAGTCGAAGTCGAAGCCGAAGTAGAAGAAATCATCGATCATCACGATATAAAAGTAAGTCACATAGAAATGACCGTGAAAAGCATCACAATAGTTCATCATCTTATCACAAATCAAGTGAATCTAAAAGATCAACACGTTCAAAAAGTCGCGATCGTGATTATGGCTCTCGACATAGCCACCATAGTTCTAGTCGATATAAAAATTACAAAATAGACCAAATTAAACATTCCGAAGCTAAACGATTAGTGATACCAAGTTATAAACTTTACGATAAAGACTTAGATGTTAAGCTGAAAATCATGCCTTTTGTCAGAATTGAACGAGAAGAGAGAGTCGATAAATTGATGAATAATTACAATTAAAAATTAATGTTGGACTTAACTGACAAAGAATGTTGTGAATTTTAGTTGTTCTTTGGTAATTTCATTTGAGCCCGGGAATTGTGCAAGTTAAAAAACACTTTCATAGGAGACAAAGTTATAAATGAAAGTTTCTTCTGAAAAATAGATAGTAGAGTCGAATAAATTATTTAAGAGCTTTTCTGAACGTATCTAAGTTCATTTTTTAATTTATAACAATTAACTGTGCTCTACACTGTTGAGCATTCTTTAAATAATTAATTAAAGTCACACAAAGCTTTCGAATAACTTCACCATTGAAAATAATATCACTTCAGAAAAAAGTATTTCGAGCGTGTTATTTATATGAATAAAATATGAGACACAAGAGGTTGACAATGTTTACGATTTCTTTTCTAATATGGAAAAACTGACAGAGTGAATTTTCCACACGATTATTGTCTATTCGATTTAAAGTGCACTTTATTAAAGACACAGATTTTTATTCGTCTCCCTTTATTGTTTCAGTATCTAAATTTGATATCAGAATAATTTACATTCATTTCACAATGTGATTACAATTAAATAACCATTTGAATTAATTGGAATTATCAAACTGATTTACATCTTTTTTTCTCACTCTATTGAGAATAGGAGGAAATAAATCGGATTGCTATTTCAGTTCTGCCACGATGACATATATATCAGTGCTTGAAAGTTCCACAAACTAAAAGTTTAAATCAAAATAATTTTTATAGCCTTTAGAAAGAACTCGAAGCATGACAAATTTTAACAATTTTGGAATGTTTTTATTATTATTTATTAGTAACGAATATTTTTCACAGTCATGAAACACGACAGAAAAAAATTGTTGAAAATTTTAGTGTTTCTGATATTTAAATATCTACTGATAACAAAAAGGTTTTATGAAACGTTCAAATGAAACTTCGTGGAGCGAGAATATCTAAAAAAAAATATATAAAAAGTGACACTGCAAGCTTTGGGAATAAATAAGAAAACATTTATGAAGAGTAAAAGTACTTAATTTTTGATTAAAACAGTCATTGTGATTATATTCAAGAGAAATCAGAAGAAATATTTAGTTTATGCATTTTTTAAGATAGTGAAAATCTCGTTCGATAAGAGCAGATAACTCTGATACATATAACTAAAAATTTAATACTAAGAAATTTTTAATTTAAGATTTCAAATAAGCTGGATTTGGGAATCAAACAAAAATCAAAATTTAAGTAATATTCACTGAGAAGATAAAATTTGCTAGATAATTTTATATTCTTATCCCACCCACCAAAACATGATATTGAAAAACTAAATTTAGATAATCGATCTACATTTTCGAGATGTTTGATTAAGGATTGTTAAAAAATTATTTTATTCTTTAAAAAAGTAAAATTAAAGTTAATAAAAATGCTTGCAGTCAGGAATATTTTTGAAAGCTTTTTAAAAAAGCTCCTTACCTCGACGACAGCGTCCTCTTCTGGCGAGTAGAGGAAAGCTTCACCCAATGTTGAATAGATCGTAATTTCACTTGTTTAAATCAAAGCTTATAAAAATTGTTTATGAAATGTTTTTTCATAAAATTTTATTTATTTGATTATCTACAATTTGCAATGTATTTGATTTCCAGAATAATTTAGAACAGTTGGTAAATATTATCTGAGGGTACAAGCATGAATAAAGGCGCTTTAATTTTCATGATCTCGTCATATCATGAATTTTGATCTCGCTTGTTGTTTATTATAGTTTGATACATTTTAAGATATTAATTTAATTTTATGTTACTAATTGTTGGGTGTTGTTACATAGCAAAGTAATGAAATGATTTTACTGTGGGTCAATAAAACATATGGCTTGATAATGGGGAAAAATAATTTCATTTAGATTTTATTTTTGAGGGTGTAGAATATTTATTGGAATTTTGATAGACAGAAATACTGTTTCTAAAATATAATGAAGCCGTTTTTTTAAATAATATTAAAAAAAAATCTATTACATACAGATGATGTTTTTTATGAAACATTAAAATATTAAATTAACTTAATAATTTCAGTGCCTTTCAAGGATGAAAAATATAAAAAGTTTTTGGATGAAAATTTACATCTAGTTATATTACCTAATTATAATAATCGATAATTAAGCACTTTTGAACGCCGAAGCTAACTTATGTTATTATTAAGTAAACAACATTGTATCTTTTTACAATTTCCTTTAAATAACCAAAAGAGTGCAATATTAAACAAATACATACCTACTTGCTGTGTTGTTTTCAAAAGTAAAATGTAAATCACAAATATTTGTTGACATGGATGATCTACCTAGAAAAAACATAAAATAAAAATATAAAACTATGTAATGAAGCATTAATTATTTTATTTATTTTACAGGTACACAAATAAAAATTTAGATACGCATTACGCTTCAAACTTTTATTTCTTTTTTAGAATTTCACTTTACTTTAGATATTGAAAGCCTAAGTTAATAAATTATTTAACAAAACGGAAATTATATTTCAATGTTTTCTTATAAACGCCTTTATTTGAGACATGAATTCGAGTAAGATAATTCATGCAACTGTTAATGATACCATGAGACACATTATTAAATATTTTATTAGAACATTTCCACTTATCCGAGGTAAGGAAAACAAAATTATTGAAATGATTATGGTTATTGTTCAATAACGCTTCATCCTTCATGACCGCGTTAAATATTATATTAATTCATTTTGTTGAGTTTAATTAGCACTAGAGAATTTTACCATTATTCGATTACAATGACCAAACAATGTCTCTCCTTCAATTTACAAATAATTTTTAAACATTTGTCGTTGTTTGATATCAAAATTTATGACATAACAAATGAAAAATTATCTAAAATTGATTTTTCTTAATTGAATGGTTTACCAGCTTATAATTTATCTTAAACCTTCTATACATATAACTTTGATCATGAAATCATTTTTCATGGTAAATTATTCGATATCATTCGCTTTCACTTGCTTCAAAGATATGAATTATAAAACTGACAGTGTTAAGATGATGACCCGAGTGGGTTTAAAATAGTTTCATAAGCAGCTAAATTGATTAAAAATTCAACAAAACCAATTTTTAGTGAAAAGAAAATTAAACTTCAACTTGAAGTTAAAAATCTCGAATAGACCGTCGGATGTTCAATTGTTGGATAAATACCTACATCAACTACAAACATTCACTTGAAACTTAGACTTAACTACATTGAAGATGATATGAGAAATAACATTTTAACTGAGAAATTATCTCTCACCTTAAGTCACGAAGGAGGCAGTGAGAAGTGTTAATTTAATTACAAACATCTACAAAGTTACATTTGCGAAAAAATCGTTTTTGCTTTCGCATGCTTTCAATTTAATTATACACTGTCATGATATACTTGGGTGTAATAATTACATCTGTATAGTGACTAATTAATTTATTTTAAAAACGTAACAACGATGACGTCTTGACAAAATAAAAGTTCAAGTATAATAAATATTGATTTTAATAATCTTTGAAATGAGACCGCCGTACGCTTTAAACTCAATTTAAATGAAAAAATAAGTATAAGAATTTTTAAGTCAATAAATATTCTGGAGTAAATATTAAACCAGATATTTATTTATTTGCAATAAAATAAACTCATAGTTATGACTAAAGCTTTTTTATTATTTTTCACACATATCTGTTCTTAAACAAAAAATAAACTGAAGGTGATGAGGTGAGATGACACACACACATCCACATGATAGAAACCGATCATGTGACTGATCCATTCGTCAGCGTGAGTCAAATTTTGGTTTCATAATTTCAATGATGAGATGTGTTGGAGGTGAAAGGGAAATTGTAAAATAAAAAAATGGAAATCATTTAGCCGGAACTCATTAAAATTACAAATGATTTAAGGTCTAAATACGTGAGTTTAACAGTAGTAAGCATTTTAATTATGTTCGTCTCATATAATTTATCGGATTAATTTCATAACAAAAATTGTTATCTTTATAAGATAAAGTTGGAGATAAATGCTAGCAAAGCGATATTCAATGATATTTTTGCACCTGTGGCGTCATTTACAAGAGACGAATGAGTTTCTGTGGAGTTTTTACTTTCAAACAGCACTTCAGTTAAAGGCGTTGATGAATCAACTGACTCTGTTGCATTATTTGCAATCGTTGCATTTTCAAATTCATGTGTTGTTGAATTTGCCTCAACAATCGATTCGTTGAGATGCAATGCTGGATCTTTGATGATTATAGATGCGCCATTAGCTCCAGCAACCGAAGTTGTTGACTCTATTTCTTCTTTTTTTTCTGGAACTTCTGTCTTCTTCTCTGGAGCCTCAGTTTTCTTTTCAGTTGTTTCTTCCTTCTTGTCTCCATCACCTTTTAAAGCTTCACTCAATGCATAGCCCCCAACAGCACCACCTAATGCGCCTATTGAATGTCAAAAAAGAATTTTCCAATTGAACAACAATCAATTTCACAATATGTTAAAGCAAACAATGACTATACCTATAGCTAATCCACCAGCAGTTCCAAGGCCACCACTTGATTGTGGCTGTTGAACGTGATTCACAATGATTGGTTGTTGTGAAGCTGGTTGAAATCCTGCTGGTTGAGGATAAGTTTGACTGTATGGAGGTGGAGGCTGTGGTTGGTATTGGGACTGAGGATGATATTGCGTTTGAGGTGGGTTGTAAGTCGGAGCTGATGGAGCTTGATTATATTGTGGAGGATTAACTTGATTTTGAACTGGTCGTTGACTTTGATACGATCCATAACTCAATTTAGTAGCTTCTTCATTTGGCTTTGATGGTTGTGTTCGTCTTGTTGTAGCTTTTCCTTGCGAATATGACGGATATCGTTTAGCGCCGGAACAAAGATTTGGAACATCAAGAATTAGAAAAATAAAAAGTAACATAAAAAGTTTCAAAGACTTTTGTTTATGCATTTTAATGCGGTTTTAATGAATTTTATTCTGAATATTTTATTTTCTGTTTAACTATCGCAAACTATGAATTAGATATATTTTATATTTTGTCTCTTCGACTTCTCAAACTCAACTGACAGAAAAAGTAGAAGAAACTTGAAAAGAATTGTTTTTCAAAGTTTACTGAAGATCAAAATTAGCAGATTTGAAAATGTTAATTTGTTAAGTAAACTTAGTTGAACAGAAAACTTTGTTCATTGGAAAAACTTCGTAGTTATTTTAAGTTGATCCCAGACGATATCTGTGAGCTTATTCGATTTTTTTTTATATTTTAATAATCAATAATATAGTTGAAACAAAGGAAATTGTAAGAATTCTCAATGATAATTTTTGAACGTCAGCTGAGCTTACGTCAGTAGAATTCACTGTTGTGGTTTCAACCGATGCAGGTTCAGCAAGCTTTTGTGCGGCTTTTGCTTCAATCATAGGAGCATCCGTTGCCAGTGTCACGACTTCCATTGGATCAGAAAGAATCGTAGAATTCTCAGTTGAATTCGATATCTCAAAATCTGTAGATTTAACTGAAGTATCGACATCTGCAGTTGATGATTCGAATGGGACATTCGATGCAGTTGTTACCCCATCAGCTTGTGTAATGTTAACATCTTGAGTCAATATAGCTGATAAAGTTGTTTCATTTACAATTGTTGTTGACTCATTTTCGGAATGTTTTTCACCGTCTCCATCATCTGAGTTCAATGCATTGCTAAGAAGATATCCACCGGCAGCACCACCGACAGCACCAAGTGCAAAGCCACCAAGCCCAGAAGCTAAAGGTGATGCGCCGGTATCTTGAGGTTGTTGATGATTTACAGCTGACGAAGGTTGGTCGTGACTTTGGGTTGAATGATGAGGGTTTGCATGTGTTTGATGATGCGTTGGATGGTGCTGACTATCATGTGACGACTCATGATGATGTAATGCGTAGCCGTTTGGATTACCTGGAGGTGGCTTTTGTTGACCGTTTGGAGTATGCAAACTCCACCCGATATGACTCGCATTATTATGCTGATGTGATTTATCATCATTTGAATTATGCGAAGAAGTGTGGTTTGTATGATGACCAGTTGTTGAATTTTTGTGATTATTCTGGTGTTGGTGATCATTCTTTCTGTGATCGTCCGAATGTTTCTGCTTATCGTTTTTATGTTTATCTTTACCCTCACATTGATGAATGCATATTGAAAAAGATATGAAAAAAACTACCAAAAATAATTGAAATTTTTTTTCATTTCTTTTCATGTTTTTTGTTTTTCACTTTTTTTATTTTTTTCAAAATTAGTCTTTGCATACACAATTAAAATTCAGTTGCAATTATTTTGAATTGTTTTGTTATAAATAAAATGCTTCAAGCTGAAAACTTTCTAATCTTATTTTATCGAGTTTCAGGGAGCAACTAAATAACTTCTGACTTTAAATAACAGAAAAAAATGTTTACAATCTTATCTTTTTTATCTTTGTTGAAAGGTTTACTTAAAGAATTAATTTAATAGCAAGCTGATAAAGAAGAGAGAGCGAGATAACAGCAAATGAGTATTTTAATTGAGAAGAAGCATTCTCTGTTTTACTTTCACTGGTTTTAGGCACTTCTTGTTGAGTAATTGTAGCTGACTTCTGTTCAACTATTTCACCATCACGTGCACTTGAAGCAGGAATTGGGGCTGAATTGTTAACTAGAACAGTTGTTGATGAACTTGTTGTTACATCAGTGTTAACTAATGAAATCGAAGTTGAGGAATCTGATATTTGTGGAGATGTTACATCTGCTACTGAAATTAAAGTCGGATCGGTAGAAGGAATAGTTGTTGGATCAATAGCAACAGCTGTTGGAACTGTAGCAGCAGTGTCTACTGGCAATGCTGGTTGCACAGGAACAGAGCCATCAATTGGTGCCGCTGGTTGGGTGTATTGTTGATTAGGGTTGTACTGCTGATTTGGATTATATTGTTGATTAGGATTGTACTGCTGATTTGGATTATATTGTTGATTAGGATTGTATTGTTGGTTGTAGGGATCATAAGGCTGTTGTTGTGGATATTGTTGCTGAGGAACTTGTGGTGTGATAGCTGGCGCTTCAGTAACAGGGGATTGTGTAACTTCAGCAGCTGGTGGATTAACAGCTGGTTGAGTATTGTTTACAATAATAACTGTTGTTTTTGGATCATTATCAGGTTTGAAAGCATTATACAAAGCAGCTCCACCAACTCCAGCAGCACCAGCTACTACTGCCGTTTTTAATAGCCCAGGTCCACTGCTTGGTTGCTGATAACCACCTCCATAACCACCCCCAGTCATTACAGGTTGTACACCATGATAATGATTTATAATTTGAGGTGTTTGTTGAGGAGGCAAACCAGCAGGTTGCTGTCCATAAGAAGGTTGTTGATTGAAATTTGGTTGAACGTTTTGGGATGGATAACCAGGTTGTGGATTATATGCTGGCTGTTGGGGATTATATGCAGGGGGTGGTTGATTGAAATTGGGAGCCCCAGCCTGTGACGGGTTCTGTGCATAAACTGGTGGAGGTCCTTGATTAGGATGTTGTGAATAAGGTGGTGGTGCATTGCCAATCTGTTGATTATTTGAAGGATAAGGTGGAGAATTTGGTCTAGGTTGATTATTATTAACTGGATAAGGTGGGGCTTGTTGTCTTTGATTGTTGTCAACGTTCCACCCTACCGGTCTATTGTTTGCTGGTTGTGGAGGATAATTTTGAGGTGCCGGTGGTTGACTGTAGGAAGGTCTTTGAGGTGCTGCAGCATATGCTGGCTGTTGAACAGGCGCTGACGGCTTTTGAGGCTGCGGTGCTTTTGGAGATATTCCAGAATATGAAAAGCTTGCAGGGTTGGCATGAGCAGTTTGCGCTGGTCTTTGTTGTGAACGGCTGCCAGATGATGATTTAGACTTGCTTTTTGTTTTAGCTCCATTACAGACATCAAAATTTGATAAAAGAAGCAACCCGCATATCACGGCGATTTGAATTTTACTTTTCTGTTGTTGTTTCATGTTGAATCTGTGAAAATATATTTATAAACTTTTAGTTTCACTTTTTTTGGCTGTCGTCCAAGTTTATATTATTTTTCAATATCTTTCAGGGAACCAGTTGACATTAACAACTTTCAAACCCCTATTTTAGATCTTTAACTTTGAGAATAGAAAAAGGTTACAATTATTCTTTTTAACTCTGTTTATGTTTCTTTTCATGTTTTTCCAAATCACTTTCTAATTGCTTTACTTTTTGTTATGATTTTTGCACACGTAAGTTTTAATACATATTTCCTTCTTAAGTTTACAGAAATTTGAGTGTAGAAATCAAAATCTTACTTTTGTATTAAATTCCAAGGCGATTGAAAACTGCTGAATAAACAATACAGTCTTGGTTTTATCCGAATGTAAGTTATTTCGTTGATTATTGACGTCGCTTTGCAAATTATTCAATTGAATGTATGATCTGATTGTTCGTCACAGTTGGATAAACTTCTAGAAACTTTTTGCGCCGTCACTATCTTTATGTTTTTGAATGATTCGTTTAATATATTCTGTAGCTTGTTATTGAAAATTCGCGAGAATTCCAGAAAGAGCGAATCTTCGTTGAAAACGAAAACAGGTTTTATAAGTGATGCAGACTATAACCTTAATGAACAATATTTCCTGATCAACGTTTTCTAAAACGTTGCGAATGATTCTGCAACTGAAAGAGAACTGACATGAAAATAACGTCTCTTAATTTTTGTTGGGTATGTGTTGATTGTTTAAAGGTGTGTGCGGTAATGAAACTAATGTTTTCTCTCGATCTAGAGCATAAAAAAGCAGAAATGGTAAACAATATTTCGAATCGAGGGTGAAAAACTAAAAACTATTCACATTTTTGAGTATTTGAGAGAGTTTCTTGCATTTTGTGTTAGTTTACTTTGAGAAATTTTTACTTACTCATAAGGGAACAACATTACAAGATGTATTGTCAACATGAAAGCAAAAACACAAACGACCTAGAAGGTTCATTCTATAGGAATATGTATTCGAGGCGGAATGATTCTGCATGTAGATATATGAAAGAACAATTGTTTCAAACTACACACATGATGAAATTTCACAACAGTTTGGAAGATTTTTATGCATTACTACATATTTACATGCTTTGTAATGCAAATTTCTTGATATCTACATAAATATATTTTTTTCAAGTTCAAACGTTATGTGTTTGAATTGCTACCTACTACAATATTATTTTGTTTCCTTCAATAAATTAAGTGTACAACGCAATCTTTCAATCTTAATACAATTTCAACTGCAGTTTAGTTCTGGAAAGATCGCTAATTTGCGATCGATTGAAAATCATTTACGATTTACTTAAAAACTTCTTACGTCAGTTTTGTGATTCATGCCAAAATTCATACAAAATCATCAGGCGTAAAATTTTTCATGATTAAATTTGAATTATTGTGGGTATGCCAAATACTGTAATTAAGCCGAGCGACAGAGGTTTATGACCGATATAGTCACCACGGTTGAATGAATAGCTAATTTATTAATACAGAACTTTTATGAATTGAGCCTTGGCATAATTTTAAGTCAACATTTATCAAAATTTAAAACAAAGGTAAAACATTGAACATGATGACAAAACCAATCCAGTTTCATGAAGAATTCTTTCAGGAGTTAAGAAATGAAACAATGGTTTTGTTTAAAAACTGACGAAAGAAAGTGAAATTAATTACGTGTCGTATTTAAATCTAAAGCTTTGAATTACCAAATATTGACTAGCGACGATGAATATCGATAATCACATAAAAAGGAACAAGATAAATTGATTTTCAGTACATACTAAATGGAAATTCGACATCAAATATCGCGTGATTATTTTCATGAATATTTACTCACGAAAATTGTTAAATGTCACAGGACGATTTCACTTTAATGAAATGGCCATGGGCAGCTGAAAAGTTCCATTTGTTTTTCAAACATTCTGATAATTCAATTCATTACTTTTATAGGAAAGTCAAACAACACTTGAAAATATAAATTAAGCATTTATTTATGTTTTGTAAAGAAAAAAAACATAATGACATCGAAAACAATAATAAGAATCGAACATTAGTTAATAGTTTAATATTATTATTATGATTTACTTAAGAGACATGGCAGATGAAAAATAGTCTAACAAAGATCGTTAGAAATGCTTTTAATCATTGCTATTAGTATCAGTTGAACTCTTTGTTGGTGGATCAGTGATTAAATGATAGAGATGATGCCGTGATGTCGATGGTGAATGAGGTTCATCATCAATGCTTCGTTTACTCGAACTGCTTGGTGATTGTGGTGATGATGAGTGAGAACTTGGTGACATGAAAGCAAACTGACTTCTGGGAAATTCATCGTAACTTGGAAGATAATCTGACTGTTGTGGATTGTAATATGGAGTTCCATAAGCTGGTGTATGACTCGGACGACTGTAAGGAAATGGTGATGGCATTGGACTCAACCAAGATGGTAAAGGCGCATATTTGTTCATCATTGGTTGCGCATAAACCATCGATCGTCTCGGATATGGTGTTGTTGATGGAAAGTAAACATCAGACCACTTTTGTGCAGCTTTTGGCGTGTATTCGCCCTTGACAAACAAATAAATTGGACGTTTGAAGCCTTTACTTAAATGCTGTGTCACTCCTAAAGTGTAATAATGACTAAATCCAACTTCTTGACTCAACAGAAAATCAGCAAAATTCGATGGTGAAAATTTTATGCTTTTATAGTTCTCGAAAATCTGCTCTGTCATCTTCTTCTTCTTTTTATAACTCGGCCAATTTTGAAGTTCAAGAATAAATTTTCCACCCGGTCTCAATTGATTGAAAATCTTTTTAAATGTCAGCTTCATTCCTTGATCACCATAATTAAGATGAATCCATTTAGTAACGGAGAGACAAAGAATTAAATCGTATTTTCCACCGTCACGGAATAAGCTTAGTTCGTCTTTAGGCACATAATTCATCTATAAAGATAGAAAGAAATAAAAAATAATTAAATTCATCATTTTATTTAATGTAGAAATATTGACAAACCTCTTCAAATAACACATTTTCAGGTATTCTCAGGTATTGTGTTTCATTTGGCGTTTTTGGTGTGGACACGTGTGTTAATGGTGTTTGTGCTTTCTTTTGAATCTGTCTGAAAGCAGCGCTTAAATTGCCATAGCATATTGGAAATGAAGATGGAAAACATTCAGTTCGTGGACGTTTAACAACTTCTGCATTTAAATCAGTTTCAATTAAACTGTCAGGGATTGCAACATACTTCATGAGTTTATTCCGTGCGATGTTAATTAAGTTTCGATCGATATCGACGCCTGTTATGGATTTTGGTGATAAAAGTTTTGCTATTGCAAGTGTCATAAGTCCCACATTACAACCGATATCAAGTACATCTTTGTTTTTAAATAAATGGACGTGACGTTGGAAGATTTTCAATCTTACATCCATGTTTTTATTAAGACTTTCAAAGCCAAAGTAGCGATTGTAATTTCCATATTGACAACGTGCAGTCTTTTGTAAAACTGCGTTTTCAACTTTCACTTCTGTTACGTTTTCTGTTTGAGTATCATCAAATAACTCATTTGTTAATTCCTCTTGATTTTTTGAAGCTTCATTTTCAGTAGTAGGGACGATGACTGTTTTGGGATCTTCTCCAGAATTACTTGGCTTTCTTGTATTTACAGTTGGACTATTTTTGGACGATTCTTTATCAACTATTGACCATGAAGGATCAGTGATCTCATCATCAGATGATTCTTTTGATACATTAGAATCATAAGCAGCTTCGCTCTCCAAAGGTTTCTCTGGCGATGAACACAGTTTATTTGCAAAAGCTGATTTTTTCCGTGTATTCATTGGATGAAATTCCGAGCCTGACTTAAAACGTTTCCTTTGACGCCTTTTGATGTTACTGTTGCAAGTCAATTGCATTTCATACTTTGTCTTATCGACGGGACTTAAAAGATTGAGTGGATCATTGATGTTAGGAGGAATAATCAACTCTACTTTACTCTCGCTCTCTTCTTCAATTTCATTATTTTCATCATCATTGTTGGTTTCTGATTCATTCTAAAAAACAATCATAAAAGAAGAAAAAATAACTTACAAAATATTCGATATGAATCATGAAATTTTATCTCACCTGGAGAGAATTTAAATTCAGAGGATCAGAAATGTTGCCACCTGGAAAGAGATTGATTAAAATTAATTTGAAAACTATGATTTTGATAATTTGTCTTACCAAGCAAAAATTTTGGTATTCTAACATTGCGTCTTGCACGTTTTTCAGGCAGAAAAAATTTCGAAACGTTGAAACTTGTCGGCCAGATTCTCTTGTTATTTTTTAATGTCGATTTTTCTTTTTCATGTTTTTTAACTTTAATTTCACGCTTCTCGACCTCCATTATTTCATTCACTGACACCAAAATTTAATGCAAGAAATGATAAGGAAATGATTCGAGATAATTTGTGATGAAATAACTTGCGATTAACCGCTTATTTTAGATTAATTGTAATAATTTTTGTTCACCCTTCTTCAAAACAATAGTGGTGTTAAACTATGACTAGAAATTTTGAACATTTACACCAATTAGGTAGTTGAGCCATGGTGAAAATGGTTGTTATTCACCACAGAAAATGCTGATTTTATGGTTAATTGCATGTATTAAATTACATCTCTAAAATACAACTTTCATAGAGCATCTGATATTAATATTTATTAATATTGTTAGTGACATTACCTTAATTTGATAAATTTAATGATTAATCACTAATTACTGTTAAAATATGTATAGAGGATGAAGAAAAAGAAATTAATAATCTCTACATTGATAGTTGATTAAAACCTTTCAGTCTGTTTAGTTCTTTAAAAAGAAATTCAATCAAAATATTAAGCAATGAATAGATTTCAAAATCTTTTGATTTCCATCAACATAGCTTCAAAACTTTCTGGATTTATGTTCATTTCATTTGATTTTAAATCTAAGAGGATTGACTTTGTGGACAACTATATGGACAAAGTACTTTTCGTTTTGAGTTTATTGTTGAGTTGCCTAGCTTATGTGTTTTATGATGGATATTTCGATCTTTACAACATCGTTCAATCTCAAATTGTTGTCAGTCTAGTAAACCTATTTGCTCAAAACTTTTTTTTACTTGTTTGCATATTGAAAATTTTAATCTTTTGGCATCGCAATTTTTTTTTCCAAATTTTAACAAAATTAAACGAATGTCAATTGGAAGTAAATATTAATAATTTATACATACTGCATACAGCTTGTTAATTACTCTTTCTTTTGTATTATTACAGCTTGAAATGAACAATATTTTGACAGTGCTGACAAAACTTCAATATTTAGCAATATTATCAAGTGCTTTTTTTCACTTTATTACGTTGGTGATTAATATAGTTGTCAATCACATATTTATAGTAAGATCTAAATTAGACGATAAAATGAAATTCAAAGATTTTTTGGTATTATTTTCAATTAGCATTGCTCACATGATATACTGTAATTGCTTTTTACAAATGCTGTCATGTGTATATTGCTCAATTAAATCATTGAACAAATTCTTGGAAGATAATGTAAAATTTCCAACTCCAAAATCATTCTCAAGAATTACCAAAAAAGTGTCAATATTGAATGATAAATTTTGTGATATTCTGGAAGCTATTTCAAGATATTATTTGATAAATATTTTAAATATTGTTATGTTTGTACTAGTTCCTGCTACTTCTTTTGTTTATTGTTTTTATGTGTTAACAACAAATTACAATGAAAGGCTTTTCTCATTCATTTTTATTGCTCTTTGCTTTATTTTGTTTTTTACACCTTTTTTCATATGTATGGCAATTCTATCAAGTTGGATTGAAAGTGAAAACATGAAAACTGCTGAACTTTTAAATCAACTCCTTATGATAAAAAATGAAAAAAAAGCTTTGATAAGATTAAACATTTTGTCGCAACAAATTGAACATAGAAAGCCAACACTCTCATGTGGCATTTTTACAGTGAATTGGAAATTTATGTTTTCAATGATTTGTGGAATTTTTAATTTCGCAATAATTCTGATCCAATTTTATTATGTTAAAACTTAATTTTCTAGTCTCATTAATAGCATTGATTTTATTTTTAAGAAAATGCATGATAAAAATTTATAAACTTTCAGTAGTTCGCTTAATAATTATCTATTATCACTGAACTATTGATATTTCAATTAAGAAATCTTTAAACTGGTCATCATCGAACGAATAATGATAGTTTATTGATTAATCTAGGTAATTACCATTAGAAATTTATGATAAGTTATCCCTTCTCTTTTTCCCCCTTAGTATTTACAGTTTTCAGCGCTATCCCGAGAAACCAAAATTTTCATGCGGCGGCCATATGACTGCCACTTGCAAAGTTACATGTCAGGGCAATTTATTTATATGGCGAAAGCAGCCACTTGGCTGATTTGAAACGTACATGTAAATTTTGGTTTCTCGGGTATACAATAGCATTAATTTTTAAAATATTTATATGTACCTATCTCTAATAATTTTTTGATGAAATTTACGAAGTGTAAGAGCTCACTGAAATATTTTTTTATATAGAAAAGGCTTCACACAAAATGAAAAATTTAAAAAACGAAAATCCAATTTTCCCGACGACTGGAATCGAGACAGCTATCTCCAGTTGTCTACCTAGACCAGCAGTGTAGCGATTGTTGCAAATTTATTACTTTTAGAGTTAGTACATAAGACGTGACTTTTCCTAGAAGCGTCGAGTAATTTTCAAGTGTTCAGACTTGAATAAAAATATTTATAAATCATAAAATCGTGAAGTGATCACAAACAAATATTGTAGTTTAAATCTTAGGGTTACAGAGTGTGACATCAAGAAGGAAACTAGATATACATCACTATCCGAGGATACCAGTTACGCAATCATCTCATCGTTACACCAGTGCATTCAATGCACGAAACATTCAATAAACTGTCTTACCAATTCCTTACCAAAACCGTAAAGCACATTATTTAAATGGTTTTGACTATGATGTTCTTTAAAAATTAAAATTATAGTTATTAGATATCTACAGGTTATTTATTTGACTTTCAGAATTAAAACTTAAATAATAAAATTTTATGTCGAACTAAGTATTAGGTATTAAGAATTCTCCAAACCTCTATTCATGACTATTTTGAATTCAGTTTTAGTTTTAACTTTGAAAGATCGTGTTAAGATGGTGAATTATAATTATTTATCAAAGAAAAAAATTTTATGTATGCTTAGATAGTCAAAGAACCCTCTGCATCAAATTAGATTAAATGAATATTTTGAGTAAATAATCTAACGATGGTAACAATTAATCTAATTTTGTTTATTAATTTGTTTATACTGATCAAATGACATTTACAATGCAAGAAAGACTCCATTTAGATATTTTCAAAGTAGAAATGAAATTTGTACCGACGACGTAATGGATTCAGTCATAATTTGATTAAATATTTATCGAAGGCCATGTCAAGATTAAATTAATTATTAAAAAATTTATTAATAGAATTTTTCGTCTCAGTCTCGTTCATACCTCTGCCTTCTTCAGTTT